GTGTGTGTGTGTGTGTGTGTGTGCATTGGGGAATAGTTGATTATCATTTTTTTGTCGCCCTCTGTACAACATCGGAAATTTCACGCCCAAGTGAAAGTCAAGCGCGAAAACAAAACCCACACAAATTCGATGCTCATCCAAAAACATTAAATTTGCATTTAACCCGAAAATACTAGTCGTTTCAGCTGAAATGGAAATGAGAATCATTCATGAATGACAATTTTTTTTGTAGACATTTAGAGTTTTGCAAGCATAAAAAAGCACACGATGGAAATGTGTGTTAAATTTGAATGAAATGTTTTTAGCATGTGTACAATCTGACTACCGAAAGTGGGCAATTTTCCATGTTGATTCAATGTTTGAATTTCAAAATGACAAAATCGCCCGATTTAAAGCAAATGCCATTCATTGACGTCCATTTTTGTCTATAAATGGTTCCATAAGACTTAGATATTCTTGCGCGAGCTACGCATTTGTGGTGTCGAGCGTAGGCGGTGGCGACGACGGCAACAACAATCGCATCGACTGTGTGTTAAACACTCTATGATCATAATGCTAAAGAGTGACAACGCCAACAAAAAGCGCGATTATTCGATTTTTATTGCTGCAAATTGGCGACGAAGGCTAAACGCGCATCCTAACTGGAAAACATAAATTAGATTGTCTCATCGCTGTCTTTTTTTTTGTTACGATGTCGTTGTTGTTGCTATCAAACAAATACGTAATTATAATTGTGCTCTGACGGTTTTTTTTTAAACAATGAAATACGGGAATGACGTGAGAGCGAGAAATGTGCTGGATAGAATGGATAGATTGAAAGAGAGGAAGAAAGGGGGAAGAGAACGATAGAGAAAGAGGAAAATACAGAGAAAGACGGAAATAGGCAACGATATAATTTGCAGTCGCAAAATAGACTCAATAAATATGTCAGTGGCGGTTTTTTTTCGACAATTTCCAATAAAATGAATTGAGCATTCCAATCGAGAAAGCTGAGAGGCTTTTGAAGTTATAGCAAAAAGTTTTCCCGTTTTTTTTTCTTCATTTTTTAAGAAGATTATGTGGAAAATAAAATATAATTTACTACAGTACCAGTCAGAGTTGAGTAACTATTTCGTGGTAATGTTGAAGTGTAACTATCGCTAGCCCACATTAATGAGCCGTCGATCGCATCCATTTGATGAAAAGAACTTTATTTCTTTTGCCGACTAAGCCCGATTCAATTTCGTGATCAGTTGATTACAATCAAGAATTATGTCGAAAATAATTGGTAATAAAATTTTGATCAACGAGAACGATCAGGGATTAAATTGTTTCCTACTTCTCCTCGTCCACCATCTCAAACTGTTTGCTTAAGCTGTTTTATTCAAGAGCTCTTTGATCAAAAAAAAAACACAGACCTAATTTGGGACGAAATTCTAATCAAACAAGATTTACCTAAATCAGAATCACACTAAGCCCGAATGCCTCCAGCAAAATCGAGAATTGCATCGCGATGTCGTGCAACAGTCGTTCTATATGCAAGCTGAAACTGAGCGATGCACATTTAACATCGTTTGCCTGAAGCACTTAACCTCCGTGTGATTGGTTTAGTGCTCTATTTAAGCGCTATATACACACATTTGCAGCCATATGCTTGTGACAGTCGGGCATTTTATCGATAGATAGCCGCTGAAAACTGGCTGCAATCAATTTACACACGCGTGTTCGTCGTAGCCCGAATCCAACAACGTTGCGCTGTTTTCATTTTATCCTCAATTGCGTGATAAATTTGTGTGCGCCCATAAATCTGAACTACATGAAAAACCATTAGAGTCTAATTGTTCTGAGATCTGGCCGCAAGTGATGGCGCGTTTAATTCTTGTTTGTCTGGTTTGCGCGCGATCGCCGTGCGTTCTCTTTTCAGTTTTCGTTTTGTTTACAATTATCGTACGCTCGCACACTCACCAACCCAAATGAAATGGAATGCCTAATTGTGATGAACCATCGTCTCTCGATTTAAACGACGATAAACGATATTACTCGTACACGATTTGCCCATTTTATTGTGATGAAATGGGTCAATTTCTCTATTTTTTTTTTTAAATTACTATATACGGAACAAAGTGTCAAGCGAACGTCGTTATTCCAACGACGCCCAAGTCCAATGTAACTTTTGTATAACAGAAGAGCTCTGCCAAAAGAGAGAAGGGAGAACGCAAAAGATTTCTTATGGCACCGGAAGAATGTCAAAAACAGAATATATTTAGTATGTTTTTCATGTTGAAAAAAAAAACACGGCACTTTCGTTGTAAACACGATGTGTGACACAGCAATGGATGGAACGGTGACGGCAGTTCAATGTTGTTGTTGAATCACCGAAATAACAACAACAAATACATCTACAGAAGTAGCGGCAATTTTATGCCATTGAATCAGGTTACGATTGACAAGTGGATGTTGCGATTTGTCATTCATACACAGTCGTTTTGAGCTTGTATTTATTTTGTCGTAGGCATCTTCCACTTCACACAGCGTATCAAACACGCATACGTGTGTACGCGCTTACCTCATAATTCACGTTGTGCGTTCGTCTTTCAATTTTTTCTTTTAATTTATAGACATTTTTTTCTGGCTGTGTGTGAAGCATCTGGTGCGCATTCTGGTTCATGCACGTCACAATCACAATGCAATGCAAAACATCATAATGATCTATTGTTTATTTTTCTTCATTTAAATGGTGATTTAAATGGCAATTGGTCGTTTAGAACGAGTTATATCAGTTTTGTGATACGTTGTTCCCTTTTTTTACTCTTTTACCAAAATGTATTCCATTTTTTTCTTTCATCATCTCTTCAATCTTCAATTCTTTTCCACTCTTCAGCTGATCGGCTGAGATAGATTGATGGCCGATCATTTCTTCGTTTAAATCGCAATATTTCATGAATTTTTCGAAATGAACCACACAATTCATCTTGGCACATCAAACAAATTATTCTTCATCTGTACAGTAATTATTGCTTCCTAATCTTCACCTTTCGGATTTTAGAATGGATTTTAGTTCGTTAAGCAGAAGCTCGCAATCGATTGTGATCATCGAATTCAAAAGTTCATTGATTTTCCACTGTAATCAAAAATTTTCAACACACGATGAAATCTACTCAAAATGGATGGTTTCGTGTTCGCACATCTTTTAATACCAAATTAAATTGTGTGACCTCGACTTCAGCTCAATTCATCGTGGTGAACACGACGATGTTAGCACATAAATTTTCGTTAAGCGATGCATTTATCCGAAGATCGATGAGAATGAAGTAAAATCTGTTTCGAGTTTGATGTTGCAAAATTTGTTTCCAATTTCTTAAACTCAAGAACAATGAATAAAACACGAACACATTGATTGTTGAAAGTTTGAATAATTCAATTTATTCATTCAACATAAGAACTAAGTTGAAAATAATGTACAATTTTGATTGATGTGGTTTTTTCAAAAACATTGATCCGTTTTAGATGAAATATGTTTTGTTGAGAGATTCATGTTTAATGATTCATTGGAAGAGAAGTTATGCTTTTTTTCCACTAGCATCTGGGTACGGTCTAGATTTTTCTGGTAGCATCAAAATCTATTGGCATTTAGCCTACATCAAAGCTGTCAACAATTTAACGTGAATCAAATGTATGCCTTCTTTACGGATTGCAAGCAAAACGTACCAGAAATTAAGTAATAGATATGCAGAGGGTGTTGTCCAGAAGCCACAGCGTGGACATCTTACAAGGTGATCGCGTTGATCGTAACGAATGATCCATGACCATCTTTCCGGGCAATAAAAATTATTGCAATCGTAGTATCCAACGTGGATTGGAGAAGGTCTTGCCATTTTTCAAACTTTCCTTTTGATCGAACTTGATTCCGACGACTTCAATTCAATACTAAAGTGTCATTTCCATTCCGATTTCATTTTTGAACGATAGTCCTGAACCATTTTTTTTTTAAAGTCAAATCAACAACCCAATACCAGACGAATCATATTTATTGTCTCGAATGTTTATGAGTGACGAAATGACAAATCGACAAGCCAAACTGGAAATAATATTATAAACAATGGTCAGTCTACATAAGTAAATATTTGTCACCTCTTTTGAAGTAATCAACAAGTAGTCGAGCGAAAAATGATATTAGGGCGAGAATTGTTTTGATGAGAAGCAGTTTTTTTCGTTCCTCAAAATCGCGATCAAGAAAAGGAACACAATTTTGTTGATTAAACAGTAAACGTTTGAGTGATTCATTTTATTTGTTGAAGATAAGAATGAAGAATAGAGCCACATATTTCTTTGTTAAATTCTGATCGATTTCTTTATTTGTTTAATAAATCAAAGTTTAAATGTTTCATTCGTAAAATTTTAGAATAATTATGTTTCGACATGTTTTTAAATAATCCAAACAAAATGGTTCTTTTTCGTCCGATAGCATCTTGGTTGAATCCAAATTACAGTCTGAAAGGAAAATATGGAATAAAAAATGATGAACGATAAACATAAATGAAAACAATCTTCGAAGTGATACTAATTGTAAAAGATCGAACCTGATGTAAATATGACGTGGGAGACAGCATTGACACCATGGACACTTTACTGGCTGTTCACGTTGATCATATGAAACGACTTTTGACCATCTGTAGTTGCAATTGTTGCAGCAGTAATAAGCGCGAGGTAGCCAAAGTCTTTTCATTGTTGATAACTGTAACGATTGGACCTGGTTCAGTTGTCTTCAATCCAATACTGAAGTATCATTTCGATTTTCAACTTCAATTTTCACTAGTGAACGTTCAGATTAATTGTCGCTAAGTCAACAACCCAATATCAGACAAATCAAAAATTGACGAATATAAATATTGATTAAAAGGTGACGAGTCAATATACTGGCTTTAAACCAAACAAAACTTATTTTCAAAAGCAATTCTCGGTACTTATCCCGTAAATATTTGTTACCTCTTTCGAAAAGCACCAGCACTCGTTCGAAATATATCCTGTCTCAGCATATGGATTGAAATTGTTTCTCTTGAAGCGGTGGTAAAAATTATTCATGACTCTAAAAAAGATGAAACGATGATTTTTGAATGAAAACAAAACAATTTCGCTGATTATTCCATTAAATGTGTTAATCAAACAATTTATTCGTTCGAGACAAGTAAGAACAATGAAGAGAAAATAAATGTTCTTTCAGCACTGGTCTTCATTTGTAAATTTTTTGGACCACAATGTGTCTTGAGTGGTATTTGAGATGTCCACATTTTTCTCTCTTTGTATCGCTATTTGGGAACGAAATTGTGTACCATCTAAAGTCTAAAAACGAAAGTGAATTAAAAAAAAAAATGCCATCTTCAATGATTGCAAAAGAACAAACCTCATATGAATATGACGTGGGACACAATCAGATCGACAACGTGGACATTTTTTGGCCTGTTCGCGTTCAGCGTAAGGAATGATCCATGACCAGCTGTGGTTACACTTGCTACAATCGTAGTAAGCCCGCGGTAGCCAGTACCGAGTAAATGGTTTATTTTCTGCTCCCTCCATGCTTTGCACCGAACTTGATTCACTTGATGTCAATTCAATACTGAAGTAAAATTTGAAATTCAAAACTCTTTTTATGGATGAAAGCTCTGTGGTTGTTTCTTTTTGGTGCAACTTCAGCAACGCACTTGCAAATGAATCATATTTATTGACGAGCATGAATTCTGATTGAAAAGTGAGAAATCAGCGAACCAACCTGGAAATAACTTTTATAAACAATTCGCAGACTGAAAGAGTAAATATTTGCTACTTATTCCGAAAGCAATATATAAAATGCTATTGGATTACCATTTCTAAATAACAAAAATTCCGTAATTTCTTTGCTTTTTTGAAGCAGAACACCGACTAAGACCTGTTTTTGCATTTTGATCTGATACCACTTGACGGACGGAAAAGTTTGAACATTTGAAACAAAAACTTGAAGAGAAAACACATGGAATTGCTGCATACTTCTGGGGCATGGTCACAAATATCGCGTCATTGATATCAAGCGACTTTTTTCTTCGAAATTTACAAACTTGCATTTATTAAATCATCTGAATTTCTTGGTGTTGAATCCTAAAGTTTGGAGCACACACACACACTTGTCAATGTGAACAACTCGAATTTGAATTTTTTTCACATACATTTTTTAATTTATTCTTATTGAATTAAGCACAATCTCTTCTGTATTATTGATTGATACATAGAAATCCATAATGTCTTGTCATTCCAAGATCGTTCAGTCTGATTTTTCGGCAATATTTTCCATATTGAGTCTGCTAAATATTATTCGGTTGGTGTTGGCGTTGATTCAGGAGAGTGTTGAACCTGGAAGTAAATAAAAAAAAGCGATGCAATAATTCGAAAGAATCATTTGATACTTTTTTTTCCTCACATATAACAATTAATCAATACTTGCCCATGATACTGGAGTACATATTCGTTTCATGCACTGCGGGCACAGACTCATGTAACTCGACGTGACATTCAGTACAACCCATGAGTTCAAGCAATCGGGACACGAATAACCGACATTAAACTGATCTGTGGAATCCATTTGTAGCTAGTTTCTTCCGTGCTGGAGATCGATCGTTCCTTGTTTGAACTTTTAATTTCCAATCGTATTTTCCCGAGATCTGCTCTGTGTTGACACACAATTCATACTGAATCATTCTTGAGTTTTATAATTTGAAATGGTCGTCGATAGAGCAATATGGAATCATTTCTGCTGAAACGGACAATTTTGGATACTTGCATTGAAATGGAATCGAATATTTAGGGGAAATCAATATAAATATTGACAGAAAAACGGACAAGTCAAATCAATTTGTTCAAACAATTGACTGACTCACTGAAAATGTAAACATGCACAATATAAACGAAATGCGATCATTCTGTGGTGAGCATTCAAATGATATATATGCGTTCGCCAAGAAAATACATGTCAAAGAGATTATGTTAATCGAAGCATCTTCTCTTAGACTTAAAACTGGGTACAATGACTATAAACACCTAAATAAAATAATAATCGATGAATCAAAATTGGAATTATTTGAAAAAAGATTTCAATTCGCGATTAATTCTTGGTATTTCGGGAAAAGTGCGACAGTCACACGGGTGTCAATCCAGTCAATAGATTACTCGTATAGTTCATCCGATGCCACAATAAATTGCCGTTGCCGCAATTATACTCGGCGATAGTAGTTAGAGAGTACATTTCTGCTTTTATTCGTTGACTGAAAATTCTTGATAATACTAATTTGATGTTCGACTCGATTCGGGCTTCTTCTTCTTCTTCTTTTTTTTACTGAAATCGATTCGTGATTCGCGTACAGATTTCCACATCTGAAAATGATACCAATTGTTGTTTTCACTCTGCAATCATCTCTGTTCCATAACACATGCTTCATGCTTGAGATTTCGAATTTCCAAATACAGTTTACGTAATCTTTACCGTTGGAATTGACACTATGATTGTTTCCATTGGAATTTCATCGAATGAGTAACGAAAATGTATGTAAATATTGATAGAAAAGCAGCATAATCACTGAAAAATAACATTAATTCATTCGAACAATTGGCAGACTGAGAAATAAACACATGAAACACACTGTACTTTGAGATGCATTTATTATCAAAACAGCAAATGACACAGCGTGAGCACAAGAAGCATCGAATTATTCTCAGAATTACATGAATAATATGTATTCTGCAGTGTTTCCTATCGATTGCATGATTTCATCATTGTCGCCTCAATGCAGAAACTACTGGCACCTAGAAAATGAACCTAGAAAAGAACGATTAGCAGCGATTCATTCAAATGAATTACTTTGGGTTTCAGTTTTTCGATTTGAGAATAATAATTTGTTACTCTTACCTCATGTCTAAGAAAGCATGGCCCGCCACAATGCCTACAACTCGAATGCTGATTATTCTGCACGTTGATTTGATACCACAATATATTGCAGTTGGCGCAGTAATATTCACCTTTGTAACGACTGGTAGCATCCATTTGCGATTATTTTCTAAGCTGCAATTTTTTTTTCTTCAGAAAATTTCCCTTGTGAGTCCACAATTTGTTTACTTGAAATTCCTCCGTTCGATGACACACGACTAAGACTTGAATTCGGAATGAGTTTGTCGTCGGCTTCAATGTAATAATATTTCAAAGAAGCACGATTGCTTGTGTCAAGTATGCAGGGAAGATCGTAGGCGATCACAAAATGTACCGTGCGTGTTGGAAATGGTGCCTTTAAATGTGGATCGTCTGAAATGCATACGCAATTTGTATAGTGTTTTTGCTGCTGAAATTAACGATAAAATATCCAAAACGATATCGAATGATTGAAACAAAATCTTGATAAATATTGACGGAAATATGGCACTCATGGAAAGAAATAGAAATTTTTTTTTATTGAAAACTATCACAGACTGAAAAAATAAACATGCGGAAATAAAAGACAATGTTTTTATTTGTGAGGTTGCTTTATTTGTCAAAGCATCAAATGATACAGAAGAATATTAAGACATATGTCAAAGAAATTGTTGTTTTCATTTTGGCGATAAATTCCATTTGTTGAACGCTTGTTGTTGTTGTTGTTGTTGTTCATTCTATTCCATGTAATTTTTCGAATTTATCCCATCAACGTCTTCTCGGTGCAGACAACAAAAGGTCCTGAACAAAACAAAATATCGAACTGATTAACAAGTGATTCAAATGAGTTATTTGAGAGTCTAAAATTGAGACGCTTTGTTTAGTGGTTTATGAAAACAATTTTCAATCCGCACCTGGTATTTTGGAAAACACCAACCGCCGCACTGTTGACAGCAACCATACTGATAGCTCGATATGTTTATTTGATACCACAGTAAATTGCAGTTAGTGCAATTATATCCGGCTCTATATCGAACAGCTGGATCCATTTTTTTCACGGGTTTGTTTTTCGTGTATTGAAAATGACTCGACGAATAATTGTTTTTTTTTTACTAAAAATGACTCTTATGCTTCTCTCTTAAGTCAGACCTCTCTCTCGTAACTTACACCTTCTACTGGTCTTCAAAATGTATTGATCGTTTGTTTTCGCTTCATATTCGATATCGCACTGGTCGTCCAAATGCGCTTTGTTTTAGTAAACAATTCGATTGAAATGATTCGACAGTTTGGATATTTCCATTGAAACTGCACCGAATCACAGAAATTTGTATAAATATTGACGGGAATAAAGCGGATAAATTCGCATAAATACGAAAATAAAATCGATTCAACCAAACAATTGGCAGACGAAAAACAAAACCAGTACAAAATTTGAACGAAATGAATCATAGCGAAATAAATGCATTTCAACTTTGTTTAGTTTCACAGTTTTTTCTTTGATGAATCAATTATTCTAATGACATTTTTCTATTTCTATTTGCAGGTAATGATTGCAAACCTATATTCATAAAGCAAAAAAAATGCATAAAGTAAGACCATATTCGATGTTTGGGTCATCGGCAATTAAAAAAGAAATAAAACAAGAAAATATTTCGACCAAAACGAATGTAACGGCGACATGAACGAAGGCTGTAGCAAGAAAATTAAAAAGATAACAAATCACAAGCGACAATATCAATTCCAATTAATCAATTCGCAGAAGTGTATGTGAATAAACTCACTATTTTTAAACGCATGATTCATACCTTGACTTATTAATCGCATAACAAAAGAAAGTTTGCAAAGCGAAGAATTTTAATTTTTTTTTTATTTAATTTACCAGAATGAGTAATGCATGAACTTCAAGACGAATTTCTCATCAAGAGCAATGACGAAAATAACTGAAGAAGATAAAATAAAATTGAGACGCGCCGACAACGGCGCAGTTTTCATTCAGAGATGTATTTAGATTACTACAGCGCTGGCCATTATTCATTGGGATTTCAATGACAAACTCAAGTATATCGAATATTGCGTGATTTTGGTGCGAAATATTTTCGCTATTTCCATTGATAAATTCACATTTGTCATCACAGTCAGAAGGAAACATTTAAAAAAAATAGTAAATTCGAAGCAGCCCTTGGAATGGGTACTATAGTTTTTTTTCTCCTTTCAAGTAATCCAAATAGAAGTTTTAGCCAAGTTCAAATAAATGCTTAGAGAAATTCCATAATAGAACCTCTAATCGTAGTAAGTCAATTGATTACGACTCTCGATCGTTGCAAAATAGTGAATAGATCCAATGAAAAAAAATCAAATAAAATGAAAAAAAAATTAAAAAATATTTTTATCAAATTTAGTTGTTGAATAAAATTGAGAAATATGACACAAAACCAAGTTTAAGATTAAAAACGTTGCTTGAGCCGTTGCTTCCTAGAAAAAAAAAGACCTGGGGATTAGAGTTACTCTTCAGATTACGTTTTGGATAATGTAATCACGTTTAAATTTCTCTTCACATTTGTTTCGATTATGTGGAACGTGTCAAAATGCTGCGTAATAATGTGTGTTTTTTCCTCTTTAAAAATAATTGCTTATTGCTTCGAGCCAATAAAACCGCTTCCTTCTCGAAATATTTCAATGTTTTTGTGAAAAGTCAAAACGTGTGCCATTGTCTTACCTCAACAAACAACAAAATTCCAATCAATTTTTTTCCTCCGTCAAAACATTTGTTTTTTTTTCGTCTTCAATCAAGAGGTTTCTTTTTAAATTCAGTCAAAATTAAACTCAATTTACATAAGAGTAAAAAGACAGAAGATGGAAATTGCGCGTATATGACAATTTGTTCAATTTGGTAATTGAGACCAATGTAACTGCATTGATAGATGCTCGCAATAGCATTGATGTGATAATGTGATGTTCAATTAATATGACTTCCCGGAAGAATTTTGATTATGACCGAAAAACGTTTCAATGAACTTTTTTTGTTGTGCGATAAGAATCATTTTCATTGAGTGTATTTTTTAATTTTAAAATAAAAAGTGGGATTGCCCAAAGTTGGTCCAAATTAAACACGTCAATCAAATGGTATTTTTGCATTGAAAATGTTGCTACCGACTGAAATAGACCGAAATGTAATTTCAAATGTGTAATTGGAATTTCAAGCGATAATTTCATACCAAATAAAATTGCAATTTACTAAACGCTATGATGACAAAATGGGTGGCCAGACGCTGTTTTCCGCATAAAACGGCGATAATTACCAATTGATCAAGAGTGCAAAAAGTTAATAGCATGATATTAAGCGTAAAAATTATTTCTACTGTCTCGACCGTAGACAGTGTGTCATACAATTGCGCCAAAAATGTTTTGCATTTTACATGCCTGCGATATTCGTTCAGCACGTTTATATTTTGTAACCAGTTGATTTTTGCGTTTTTATTTTGATTCTTATTGTTTGCTGCATACGAACAAGAATGTTCGCCAAAAAGTGATTGTTTGTACGAAAACTGCGATTGTTCCGAGCCTGTCTTTTTTTCTTCTACTTACTTCATCCATATCTGAAAAATTGAATATAAGCTCGAATAAAATTATCACGTACTAAAAGCAACAACGACAATAACAAACAAAACACACGTTGCCATTTTAATTTGTAGAAACCGATATTTAATATCATTGTTTCAAACAGCGATCACATTTTCTAAGCGAATGCAACATTTTAATTGCTAAAGTTTTTTTTTCGTTGGCGTTTGACATTTGAACAGAAATTAGTTTCAATGCTGTTGTCACAGCGAATGCAGTTTAAGGTAAATCTTTCACATTTGGCCGGATCAGATGATGATAGAATTTTCCAAATGTGGTGGATTTAGTAGCTAAAATTATCTAAAAGTAAATTCATCTTCGTTTGGTTAAAATCGTCATCGACATCGATCTGACATCATCTTCTAGAAGAAAAAATGAAACGAAAAACATAAAAAAACACTCATTAAAATGCAACTCGTGTGTATTGCATGAAGATTGTTTTGTACCTTAAAAAACTTTGAATCGTCTATATTTTTTTCGTGTGTGTTGGGTGTGTTATGACTTTGTCAGCAAACGTGAGATTGATCTGAATCGTGGAACGTGGAAAAACGAGCATAAATTTTCGTCAATTGGATAGGCTGGCATTCCACAAATTTTACATAATGTCGGCCGATTTCGCATCGCATTCTTTGACATCCATTGTTCACGACACTTTGTACAACTGTATGTTGCCCTGTACTCGAAAATCTGTTCCATCTGCATCTTCATTAACGTCTAATCCAATGAAAACAACATCAACAAATAACAAAAGAATATAGTTTTTTTTTCTCGAAATTATTTATAATTTTTCGTACGTTTTTCGGTAATCTTTATGATTTTTCTGTGGAAAATTAGTCGTATCACTCGATTTTATCGGTGCTGTTGTCAGCAACTGTCAAAATATCAATGGTTTTTTCGGTCGATATTCGAATGCTCCGATATGCTATTGAACGTTTTTGCAATGTGCACACTTAACCTCACAATTAGTCGGTGCAACTGCTTCAAATATGACACACAGCTGGCCATTCCGGGTGGAATATTTTTGATTACAAGTGTTGTTATTTTATTTTTCTCGTGTATGTGGAATCGAATACTTTGCTAAATAAACACACGGCAAATTGTCATTATTATCATTGAATTAAACACAGAGTTTTCGGGTTTGGATTTTTGTTTTTATTCACGACATTCAAACAAAACGAACAAAAATAGTGATGAAACTGCGCAAATTTGGCGTCAAAACAGTTGCTTTACTTTCGTTAAACGTATCATTTTCCGTAACGCATATCCGATAGACGATCACATTTGCAGCCGCTGTACTGTTGCTGTAATTGAAACAAAAAAAAAACAAGTTTGTTTTAGTATCGATGGTGTGAGCAATTTAATTTTGATTGAATCAAGTGGTTAATCAATGGGATTACTTCTTCGCGTGGGTACCAAAGCAGTTTGCACATTCGGCACACTGACAGCTGATAGCTTGTAATGTTCAATCGACGCCACCACTGATTGCACTTGGCACAGTAGTATTTGCACAGGAACAGCAGCATCTTTTCCTGGTGGTTTAATGATTGAGGCAGTTGTTTTTTTTTACTTTTCAAGACTTTGGAATCGGTATTTTAATGCTAGTTTCAGGTATTGAATACTTGTTTGAAGAGAATATTACAAATTGAAGTTGATTTCTCTCAAAATTGAAACTTTCGACAACCTCCCAATCGTGGAAAGTAATATTTATTGGTCGACCGATCGACACTGGAAGTGTTCTGTTTGTGTTGGGGTCTCAAAATGTGTATGTGTTAGATGTGCATTTTCGAAAATATTCGCTTCTCTCCTTATATTGAAGCAATGCAAAGTGTTTGCATAAAATCATGTTTCTCTGAAATAACTCATACAAACATACTGCTCTTTGTCCCCCTCTCTCTCTCTCTCTTTCTCTCTCTCTCCCTCTCAACAAAACAAAAAACTCAAAATCACATGCCGTTGAAAAAATGTGCCGGCAACGAAATCAATTCATTTTATTGTTTCTTCTTAAAACGAATTCACATCGCATACACAAGAGATGAAAGGAATGTTCTTTTTAAAGAAAATGGTTCTTCTTATCCGTATCCAGCGATATGAAATACAGTCATTCAAAATTTAAAGTAAACATCGAGCTCAGTTTTCGTTTTTCGGTCGTTGTGTAGTCAATCTATCGGACGATGGCAAACTGTAAATTTAGCAAACAAAGACATATAAATACGTGGCCCCAGTGAAAGTGTAAACAGAAAAAAGTGACAAGCGACTGAATGTTGGTTTGGAATGGTAAAGTATGATGGCATCTAATCAAATATGCTAAAAACCGTCCAGTTCAAACAAAACCGTTGAACCACAAAAATGACTTGTACATTACGTGTTATATCTTACTCACTGTGTGCTATTTATTTCAATGTGGACTATTTCAATGAGTTTAGACTATTTTCAAGTGTGCATGATTTGAATATCTTGAGTGATTAAGCGTTTTACAGAAAATATCAAGTTTATTTAGCGCTCACAATTTACAGGCTACATTCTCAGTCATTGTCCGACGAAAAAAAAAATAATTAAAAAGCATATCAAAAATAATATGAAAACGTTAAGTGAATCAGACCACAAAAATTCACAAATTTTAGTTTATTTTTAGAAATTTTGTTTATCGAGCGCTTGGATTAGTCCCAAATATGTGTATAGCCGGACATTCCAGTTGTGTTGCACATTTGAAAACCTACCCAATTATATGGACGATAATAATTGTTGCATCCTTCGCATGGTCGTATGAGATTGTGGCTACGGCTAACCACAAACCATTTTTGATTGCACGATCGACAATGGTACTCGGTTTGGTATCGTTTGGTTATGTTTTGGTATTTAATTGTCATTTTGTGCGCCTTTTGAGCCACTTATAGGAAGACAATTCTTCTCCAGGCAACTTGAAATGCTTTTCTGTGTATTTTTAAAATTGTGGCTTCAATCGAATCAATATTTTATTTTCGTGCTTTCAATATGCCTACTAAAGTCTTACTGCGCTTACTCTAATGATTCAATCAAATTTGCGATTTTCAATCATTTCCCAATTTTTTCAATTGCCGACTAAATATGCATAAACATTTATACAAAACGTCTGCAAAGTCCAAACAAAACGCCGAAGTAAAGAGAATCGTTGACTCAGTAAAAATGATAAGATAATCAGATTGAAGCTGAAAATGGCCAGTTGACAAAATATCGAGTTGAAAAAAAAAATTCCGATCCAAGACGAATGAATCATCCTGTTAGTTCTCACCTTTTTTGAAACTGAATTTCATAATTTCCGCGGGAGATTATCTAATCTGCATTTTGATCCCGCGCAATGCGTTGACATTGATCGGTGGTAATCAGTCAGTTGCACCCAAAGCACTTGTGGAAATACACTCGAAGCGTATAGAAAAGAAGTGAGTGCAAATTGAATTTGAATCGATCGACTGAAATGAACGGTACTTTGAACCGGTTTATGGGCTTCGTCTTCGTATGCAATTTTTTTCCGCTCGTCTTCAAAGTGGAATAGTACAATGTATTCGACTTGAAAGCCCGACAAAAGTGCGAGCAACGCACTCACATCAACCAGGCAGTGAATCGATTTCTAATGCTCACCACACACACACACCGACACACACCGACACACACACACACATGAACATTCGTTTGCGTTGATTGTTGAAAGTGTTCAATCTGTCTTTAACTGCATTAGAAATTGCATTCTCTTCTTCAGTTGGTCGACTTGAAGTTCAACCGCATCAATTAAAAGAGAGAGAGAGAGAGATAGAGAGAGAGAAGAAACAAGGTAGTTCTTTTACTAGACCTAGAATGTCCACAATCGTCATTATCGGAAGAATGTGTGATTTAAACAAGTTTCGCCAACCATTCCACATTCCTCGTTTGCTTATTTTTGGCCTTTTCCTTGCGGCAGTCATCATTAAACATTTAAAAGAATCCATTATTTTATTTATTTGTGTTAAAACATTTGAATTTAATCGCCTATTTGCCATTGCCTACACCACAAGATACACATTTACTGCTATCGATGAAATAGAAGAACGAAACGAAAGACGAATCAATAGAAACAGTGAAAAGAGCATCTGTTTCTTTTTCGTTCTTGTTTTTGTTGTTGTTGCCCTATTGATTTGAATGTCACGCATTATGTATGTTGAATCCAAATCGCCATAACGAGAATAAGAAACCAACAAGTGACGATCAAAAATAATCGTGCTTCGGTTTCTGTGGAGAGAAAGAAACGAAAAAAAAGCATGGTGCACTCTTTTCGATCGGTTTCGAGAAAGGTTTGCAAAATGAGGCCAAATTTACAGTGGATAGAGAAAATGCACAAGTGCATACCATGACCTAATTACATTCTGAATGTGGTCATAAACTCGTGAAGTGATCTTTTAGAAGCATGCGATTGCTCTCTCGCACACATTTTAGTGGCTTTGTCAAGACACTAAAACCATTTTTTTATGAATAGTCCAATTGATGATGATCCAATCGAACGAAAAATCGATCAAAATTTCTCTTTTTTTTTCTTCTTCTCTCCATCGTTTTTCCAAATGTTTTTGAAATAAGAAGAAATATAAATAAAAAAAAATGACACAATTTCCCGTTTTGTGCTTCATTTTCTTCGTTCATCACTTACAAAGTTGCAACGAGTCTGATCCATATGGGCTCGGATAGTAACAACAGCAGTGCAACAAACCGAACAACACAAACCGAAGAAGCAATAAGCGCAATTGTAACAAGAAGATGGATGGATAAATAGGCGAAATGCAAAAATAGCTCGATCAGACTAACGTGCGCGCACACACACACAACAAAGAAATAAGTGAGGGAAAAGTGCAATTGCACTGAGCACTTTATGTTTCATTTGGCGTTAAATCATAATTTTTATGTTTTTCATGCATCCAATTTTTATTTCTTTCTTTTTCTTTGTTTTCCCTTCAAATTCTTGTGGCGGCTGCTGCTGCTTTATATATTTTTTCTTCTCCTTTGTTGTTTTGTATTTTACGTAATTTATTGTAAGAAGTCATGCTTAACGACAAGGCAATCAATTTTTCCGTCTTTTTTTCGTCTTCTTCTCTCGTGCGCTCTCTCTCTCTCTCTCTCTCTCTCTCTCTCCCTCTCTCTCTCTCTCTCGCGTATTCATCGTGTGTTTTGTTTTAACAAAATGAGCCTGTTTTCACCATATAGACAAAATGCTATTGTAAAACGTTCTTTAACATTTTCACCGTCAATGCAGCAGCAGCAACAACAATTTGGTTTGTATTTCTATCCACACAAATCATAAAATGCGATTATTTATGCTGGGGTTTTGTATTGTGTGTGCGCGAGTGCGCGCTTGGAATTCGTTTCGTACGAGCGAAATTACACACATTTTGTGTATGCATTAAAATTAGCGCAACTGTTTTCATTTTATCAATTTGCATTCGCAAAACCCGATAATGTATGCATTTTTCGGTGTAATATATGCGTTTAGCGAAGGCAAAGCCAAAGCTCACATTTGTGGAATAATATCAAATGGTTGTACTTGGGCATATACGAAATACAGCCTCGAATTTATATGTATATAAATCAAATGAAGTCAGCGCCGCATTTTTTTTTCACTTGGCACGACAGATGAACACAATTGAAACGCTTATTTGTTGCGCTAACCATATTATTTTCGTTGTTGTTTCCATGGAAATTGATTCAATTGAATGTTTAACATGTTAAAAGTACTAAATCTCGTGCTAGACGGCAATTTGCATTGGGAATACAAAAAGCATTCAGGATACCAAAGAAATGGATTTATTCCAACGAATTTCAAAATCGATGCTTTTTCTTTTGATTCTTAAGCCGGTAAACGTCTAAAGAATTGCATTCCAATGCCTCATCTAAATCCATAATGGTAATTTTATGAACGTTCATGTGCTACACAAAAAAAAAAAACAAAAGCACAAAATCCGCAAATAACAAGTCCACGAACAGCTAAGAACGAAATGACAAAGTTGCTTTCGCTAGAATTTGCGTGGATGTCTGATTTTGTTGTCTGGCGCACGAATTCGTATGAAAATTAAAAAGATCGCGAAAATATGCCTCTCGCAAACTATGGCCGCATAATCTAAAGTGTATATATCTAAATGAGAGATCTAAAGCATAATATTTTATGAAATGTATCTCTCTTGATATTTATTTTTCGGTGTGTGCAAAAAAAAAACTCTTTGAACTGAGCGCGCTAAAATAATTCAGAGCATCGCATGCGTGTCGAATTGGAATTATCTCAATGACTGATGGATTTTTTCTGTGTGTGTGTGTGTATATTTCAAAAGCTCAACTAGACGCCGCCGTCGCCATTTATCGTCGTCGTTGTAATTTGTTGGCTTTAAAATCTGTCATGCAGAACGCACTGGAATCCCAATGAATTGAAACGATCTTGAGACATTCAATGAAATCTGTGACCAAGGTTAATTCAATCCAGCGTGCCCAACCAACGATGCGTTTCTCATTCTGACACGTAATTGCCGAAAACAATGTAGCTTTTTCTTTTTATTTACGTAGAATTTCTTTGGATTTTTCACTATTCAAAATTGGCGCGTCGTCGCGTAATCCATTTGCATTTGCATTGTGTAAAATAAACATGTGAATTTTTTTTTTAAATTTCATCCGATTCTGAAATTGGTAACACATAGTTAGTTTGCGTACGCGCACGTTAGTTCTGCATGAGTTCAGATTTCAAGAACTTGACGAAATTTCCATTCGAAATACTCGCACACGCATACATAAACACAGCTTTTTGCCAATCTATGATTTAGTTGGCAAATGTGTGTGCCCGGTGATTCGTTAAATAGCCGTTCAGTCGGAAAATCGGTTCAATTTTCTTCATCCAAATGATTTAAGGCGCGTCGCGGTCTACAAGCACACATTTTCGCTTAGAGAAGGAAAGAAAAAACTAAGCAAATAAATGTTATTGTAGCAATCATAGATCTTTCGGTATTTGACGAGAGCTGCCATCGGTTTTCCTCATCGTATACATTTTTACATAAACACATAATTAGCAAACGATCAATGTCGATTACCGTAAATAGCAATGGCAAGTATGATGTGTGCTTTTTTCACGAGTTCTCTCTCTTTTTCTTCTTCAATTCAAACAATGAATATATCATCATTTTTAATGTACCAAAAGTCAATTCCGCACAGAGCGAAAGAGAGGCAAATAACAAGAGCAAAATATCGACGCCAACTGATCAAATAGTGTGGAAGAGAAACAAAAAGAACGCGAGTGAGATAGAGAGAGAGAGAGAGAGAGAGAGACTGAAAGCAATAGAGAAAGAGATAAAAATGTACAGAAAAGGTTGGAGCCACCGTAGAAAGACGGAGCAAAGAATAAAAAGCGAAGAAGATGTGCAGAAATAAAAAAAAAACTACCAATCGAACCATGTTCGTGCAATATGAACGTGGAAAGTAAAGTTTATTTCGCAGTGTATGCTCGTCGACAAAAATTCATTTGCATTTGATATTATTGCAAACAGACTTTCTGCACCTTTTGTAGAGTAGGAGCGAAAAAAAAAACACACATACACACAACGCAGAGAAGAAATATTGCCAATTCCGAAATGCGCTTGTTGTTTCTACTATTTTTTTTCTCGCGGTGAATTGTGTGCGTGTTGCGCGCATTCGCAAATTGATTTTATATGTTTTCAGCGAATTTCAAACGAACATCACCGCGGAATTGGAATTACTAAGCCATTACTACGTTCCTCTGCTTTCCTCTCTTTGTCTGTCTGTCTCTTTCTCTCTTCCATCAATGCATGTCATCCATATTTTGGTGCGATTTGATGTAATTTTGGTTGGTGTTTGTTGCTGAATTTCCTTAAGTTACACGAAAAATAACTTTCGCGCATGCGGGCAGTGCTCACAGGCATGCATATATTTAGATTTGGATAAAAGCTACATCGAGGCTTGAGCCGATTTGAAAAATGGATTGGATTAGACCAAGCGCATAGACATTGTCGGTTTCAACTGGAATGCATCCGAGCGCAACAAAATACGTACTTTTTCGCGCGCGCTCTCACTCCAAAGTCTCGAATTATTTGAACGAAGAAACACAAACAAAAAATGAAGAAGTATTAATGCAATTTTTCTTGAAGCATAACTCGATTACAGTTAGATTTGTTTTTTTTCCATTCGTATTCTTGCGGTATTGGTAATTTGCGAAGAGAATGCAATGTTTGGAGTCTAATGTATGTGCAATATATTCTGTCTATTTTTGACAGTTCATTCTGCTTTTGCGCTGATACATCTCTCTCAAGTGGTTGATTTTCTTTTCGATTAATTTGAAAATGATGATTCACTTGATTTATAGCTCTATACAAAGTAGTTCTCTGTATTTTCTGTTAGTGTCTCTTGAACTTATGAAATGCTTTTTTTCATGTTGTCATTGCAGGAAATCATATATCGACACAGCACAAACATTGACGTTTGAATAGAACGAGAGAAGCGGCCAAAGCGAAACGACACAAGCAAACACACCGAGAGACACAAAAATGTTGCGCCAAATATTGAACGATATGTATGTGGATCCGGAGATTCTATCCGGTTTGGATGAATACCAGAAACAGACGCTATTTTGTAAGATGCGCGAAGAACAAATTCGACGTTGGCGTGTACGAGAACAGGAGAACGATAGCCGAGCGACGTCTACAAAAAAATCCACACCAAATAAAAAGAATAAGAACGTATCATTTCGTGAGGATGATGAAGGTGAACCTTGGGTTGTTGTCATTGAACCGGCCATATTCACAGACAGTGACAGCGACGACAGTGATTTAAGCATGAAAAAACCGGGTCACGAAGAAGCCAAACAGCGTGCACGTGAATTGGCTGAAATTGAAACGAAAGAGTTGCGTCGCCAATACAAGGAAATCATTACCGATTTAGATAACAACGACACCAATTGCAAAAAAGATAAAGTCAAATTGGTGGCAACGAACGACGAACCGCTCATCGGCACACCAATCATTGATGACATGGAAATTTATTGCTCGGTGGATGAGCTGCGCGAACGCATGAATCAATCGAAATTGTCCAATGGAATTCCGCCCACCACGAAATTGAATCTAAAAAATGGAAATCTACAAAAAAATAATATAATTAATTTCAGTTTTTCGGATAATCAAAATGAAAAAAATGTTATACTCAAGGAGATCAATTCAAATAATAAGCCCACACAAAAAGTGTCGGCCAAAATTGCACTGTGGGAACAACGTGTTATTGGTGAGAAAACGACAGAGATTTATCAACGTTTGCGAAAGAAGCAAAAGGAACAGGCACAAGAAGAGGCAAAAAAACAGGAAGAAGCGTGGAAAGAACAGGAACGCAAGGCAAAAGAGGCAGATATTCAATTTCGTGAAATAACGAGACGAGCACGGGAAGAGCATCGTAAATCGTTGAATAGCGATGAAACAACCAGTATTATTTCGGCCTCGACTCCTAAATCAGTGATCAAAAATGGTGCAGTGAATGGCACCATCACCAATGGCGTGAAAAAACCAAACGGCATTGTGAATGGAATGAATGGAACAAATGGATTCGTGAACGGTATTCACCCAATGACAAATGGTACTTCGACGAAAGGGCCAGCACCTCAACCGCCAAGCACACCATCAACAATGTCAGTAACTCAACCACAGCCATCATCATCACCTCCATCAAGTCTTGATGTACTCATTCCACGACCTGCCAGCCACGATAAGATGATCCAATGGTATCACGACGTCGAAATCGCTAAAGGTGCTGGCTTAGATTCCGTTGAAACTCATTTACCATGCAAATGGTTAGTTTGAATCACTTTTTACTTCACTTTTCAATCTGATGAAGAAGTTTTTGCTCAAATTTCCCTTTTTCTGAAAAATCTCTAACAAAAATCCACATTTCATTCACAGGTTTTATGGCTTGATGAGTCGAACCGAAGCTGAGCAATTGCTTGAATCCGAGCCGATGGGCACATTCCTTGTTCGATTGTCGGAGAAAATCTGGGGCTATGCCATTTCCTACAAAGACAGCGATCGCTGTAAACATTATTTAATAAATGCTTCGACTGGCCAATACAAATTTTTAGGTGCAAATCAAATGAACCATACCAGTCTAAGTAAGTGTTTTAATTCGGTTTTAATTTCCACATCGCTTGTTCTGTTTCTCAATCCTTCATTCTATACATTTACTTACGTATATTTTGTGTATTTTCCTCCGTTAAAACAGATAATCTAATCAAGCATCATGCGACTGTGCCGATAACTGCAATGGGAAATGAGCTTCTGATTCGGCCATGCCCACGGAGTGGTGCAGTCAATTCGAAAATATTTGACGGCCTATTCTAAACTACACACACACACAAGACATAAATTTTTTTTTTCTAAGAAGAAAAAAACAACATAAATTTAGACCTACGAGCAAACTATATCAGGAATGTGCACGATCAAATAATCAACACTGTTTATCCCACACTAGGCACATTCAAAATATCTCAGTATAATTTTAGTATAATTACGCAGAAATGATTCAACAACAAAATTTATGTTCGAATGAAAAAGAAAAGAAAAAAAAAACACTTAGTATTAAACTTCGAAGCTTTAGATGTGTATTAGATTTATATGACAATTTCAAGATAAAAATGAGCAACATTAGTTGTTGACGCATGCGAAAAGTCGATAGCAACAAAAAAAAATTCAGACAGTTTCAATGAGAAGGAGGTGGACGACAATAAATTGAACAAAATGTGTTTAATGACTGAATCAGATGCATTTTATTTACATACAAAACTTCAACAAAATTTTGCGATCCTCACATTTGGATAAAAAAAATATAATCTTTCTATTCTGAGGGATCTTTTCGTTCCAATAGAAACAGGAATTAAATGGATAAAGAAAATATCGTCAACGAATTTGTGTATACATAAAACCATGCATAACAGATGTTAAAAAGTCAATAGATCAACTGAATAGAACAAAATAAACAGAAACTGCAGCAAAAATACCACATTTGATTCACATTTTGAGCACAAGACTCTCTTTTATTAGCACAATGGATGCCAAAAAAGGAGAACCATGCACCGTAGGGGAAAAAAATTAGAAGACATTTTATACTCAAATCGCATTGAAAGGGTTTTAGCCAATTTTCTAAATTATATTTCAATTATTGCGATATCAATTGACGTTTATTTTGTATGACATTTTGATATTTTAAACAAGAAAACGCTATGTGAACTATAATGATGATGTTTAAAACTATTCAGAGCAACAGAAAAAAAGATGATAATATTTTTCCTGGCGTTTTGGAAAACTAAACAAAAAAAAAATTAATAATACATTGCTTCATCGAACTGTTTGATGCAATGCAAACCCATTTTGTACATTTGTTATTCTAGGCATTTAAGTCAATTGCAACAATAAACTAGAAATTTTCTGAAAAATATGGATTTGACTTTAACAAAGAAAAAAAACTCCGAGGCAATGCATCTCTAACATATAGATTTTGTTCATAGCTCATTTCAATCCGTTAACTAGGTAATGAAACGAGAATGTAACTCTATTTAAAAAAAAAACAAAATTATAAGAATTTATGTGATTTTTTTTATAAATTCTATGGAAATAAAATTATATGAAATATACAATTAAAATTTAACAAAAATGAACAATGGGCGTTTTCTAACTGTCACTTACATTTTCATTGCTTATTTATTCTTGTTCTGTTATTTCCAGGTTCTTCGTTTTTTCTCAAACTCTATTCAATATATTTTCAGCACTACGAGCAGTTGTTTAGATTTTTTCTCTAGAGTTTTCTTTAAGTCAAAAAGGCGATAAGGATTTGAATGCTTGGCAATGTGCATTTAGATGCTACACGATCCTATAGACGGGTTTTATATCTTTATTTTCCTGCTTCGAAGACAACACATATAGAAGATTTTACAAAAAGTGAGTAACCTAAGGTCATATTGCAATTAGCTTCATTAGGCCAGCTACCAATTTATTGTCAACGAAGGATCTACAATCTACATGCAAATATGGGTGGCCGGTCGCAAATTCAATTTCAATGAACTTGTACTGAACAATGAAGAAAATTACTAAGGAAAAAAAGTGTACAACTTTTCTGCCATTTGTATGCAAACAGACACAATTACCACCTTAATGTTTCTCACTCAAAAAAATAGTGTAGAGTATTGCTAAGGAAAAAAATGAATACTTTTTATAACTCTAATGTGGATATTTTATTTATCTTCTTCAAACTTGGCGTTCAAATAATCCATATTCTGTTTGTTTTAGCCGTAACTCGATGGGAATATATTTAGAAAAGATTTTCTTTAAATACTATTCGAACACGTTAAAGTGATTTTTCTTTTTCAAATTTTCATCCAAAATTGAAAGTAAAGATGACTTCCAATTTAATTTCAATATGATACGGAAAAGATTACAAAAATATTCATTAAACTCTCGCATTTGGCTTCATTTTTTTAATTTTCCAACGATTTCGATTGTTTTTATCACATTCAATTTGTATTCATATATAAAATCCCAATCGACTTAACTAACTACTTCGACACATAGATGGCGCTGATGCGCTATTGGACTATAATTTAATGTTCGATGTAGTTAAAACTGCAATTCGGTAGCGAATACTATAATTTATAATTATATTAAAACTAAAAAACGGTTCACAGATTTAAAATGTGTAAAGTTGATTGTATTTTCATATTATTTTTTTTTTGTCTTTTGATATCTTTCAAACATTTCCGCTGCGGTCGGCCAATAGCAATTTGACAGATGCTCCACATCTCTGTGTGTTTGATCTGAATGTTTGACAATTGTGATACCGGTTTCAATGGTGCCTACAACATCAGTAAAGCGGCACACGCATACATGCATAGCACATTTGTTATTATCCGAAAAAATTCTCCGCGTTCGGCAGAATGAGCTAATAATATAGACGGCAGTTTAATAGATTCTTTCCATTTGTGCAAACGTTTGGATACGATTGGTGACTAATTATTGCTCAGTCATAGTTTGTCGTTGTGTCAACAATAGTGCGAATTTTTTTTCTCAAGAAAATATCTCTCAACTAGTAGAACATATCGACATTTAGTTTCTTTTCGGTAATTATCATTACATTTTTGTAACAGATGGAATGAAAAAGAGATGTTGCCCCATCAGAGAAATTGTTGTATTAGTGGTCGCTTTGGGTGTGTGTGTTTAAAGTCCAATTTTAGCCTCACACTTGTAGTTGAAAATTGAATGACTATTTGATTTTAATCTATTGATGGTTTTGATCCTTATCACAACCGATTTTTTTTTTCTGGTTTCGTAGTGACAATACATTGCCCATATCGAAATAAAAAGCCGAAAAACTTCATCGGCTCACTGATTGGCTTATCTAGACAAAAAAACGTACTCTCCGTGCCCGCATCGAGTGGTTAACACACACCGCAAAGCGACCACTTTATGCATTCCGCGATGAAGTTGTGACATTTATCGAACAACAGCCACCAATAAAATATTTTTCTTTCACTTTTTAGTTTCATTTTCTTCGAAACAATCCCAACAATGAGCCGATTTAGCAAAGGTGATCCAAGCTCCTACTCGGAACCAGGTAAATAAATTAATTGCATTTGAATTAAGAGAGAAAAATGTGATAAGATTTAACCATCGTATCGAAATGATCAAATAGAAAACGTTGTCACGCGGCACACGGATTTGTTCTGGAATGTTGACTTTGACAAGCAAACCATCAGCGGTGAAGCAATCATACACTTTGATATCGTTGCCAAGGAAATTGAACGTATTGTGAGTATGCGCTAAATATTGGATATTGTTCGTTCTAGAGTTCAAATGAGTAACGTTTGTTTGTTTTTTTTTGCTTTCAACAACTTTTTTTTACTTTGAAGTGAATCATACAAAACTCAAGTTTCATTTTTTTGTCAACTTGTTTTTTTTTTTTTGACTTGTTTTGTTTCTATTTTTCAATGTGCTTTGGCCATTCCTTCCACTTTTTTACTTTGCTCAAAATTCTGTTTGTTTATGTTTTTTGTCGATTTTTTTTTTCATCACAGTTGCTCGATGTCAGCGACTTGACAATCAGCGAAGTAAATGTGGTGACGGAAGGTGGAAAGATTCCGGTAACATTTACCGTGTCGGATGAAGTAAAGGATATCGGTGCCAAACTGACCATTGACTTACCGACCAAAACTAGTGGTGAATTAAAAGTTTCCATTACATACGAAACATCATCAAAGGCAAGCGGTTTGCAGTGGCTCACCCCAGAAAATACGTTAGGCAAGAAACATCCGTACATGTACAGCCAATGCCAGGTAAACAGTGTGCCCAAAAAAAGGAATTTCCAAAAGAAAACCACTTATTATGTGTCGCTTTGACAAAATTTAAACCAATCAAGGAAATGACACAAGAAATTGATTTGAACAATTCATTTTTTCCAGGCAATTCACGCAAGATCAATTGTTCCATGCCAAGATACTGGCGCTGTCAAGTTCACTTTCAAAGCTGAAGTCACTCATCCATCTGAATTGACCGCTTTGTTGGGTGGTGTTCGCTTGAGTAGCGAGAACGGCAAAACCGTGTACGAACAAACGGTTCCTATACCAGCCTACCTTCTTGCCATTGCTGTTGGCGCTATCGTTTCACGCCCACTCGGAAAAATGTGAGTAGTACAAGAATTTTATGCTAAAAACTCTTCGACGAAATTACATTCAACGTTTTATTAATGACATGTTTTATTTTGGTTGTAGCTCCAAAGTGTGGGCAGAAGAAGGTATTGTCGATGAATGTGCCGAAGAATTCTCAGAAACATCACAAATGTTGGCCACGGCCGAAGAAATTTGCGGTCCATACGTATGGAAAATATACGATTTATTGGTGATGCCCCCATCATTTCCTTACGGTGGCATGGAAAATCCATGCTTGACTATGATTACGCCAACACTTTTGGTAAGCAATTTTAGTTTGACTCAGGTTGAACTCTGATTTTGAGTGAAATTTTTTCTTCTTCGGATTTTTTCGTTTCATTTTTGTTGGTTTAAGAACTTGATGCCGATTTTTCAATGGTTTATTTTTATATACTCTAGGCTGGTGATAAATCGTTGGCCACTGTTGTTGCCCATGAAATTTCACACAGTTGGACTGGCAATTTGGTGACAAATGCCAATTACGAACATTTCTGGTTAAACGAAGGATTCACGATGTTCTTGGAAGGAAAGATTGCCGGAAGAATGTTCGGTAGAGAGGCTCGTGACTTCCATGCTATCCAAGGGCTTAGCGAACTGCAAGATTGTGTAAGTTTCATTAAATTGTATCGATTTTCTTAGAAATCTCCTATGATCTCAACAATATAGTTGAGTTCTTCAGTAATTTTAGGCTTCGCCAAATTTTGGTCTAGAGTGGTCGGCTACTAGTTGATCAATGACTATTCGTTCGTTGATCATTCTAGTTAAGTTCTAATACTTAAAAATGTTGTTTTGATATTTGCCTTGTCATACTATTTCTCTTCTGTGATTAAAAAATGTGTCATTTCTTTTAGCTTCAAGGTCAATTGAAGGACACGCCTGAGCTGCAAAAGTTGGTAGTTGACCTAACCGGTTTGAATCCGGACGATACATATTCTTCGGTGCCGTACATCAAGGGTCAAAACTTTTTGCGCTACCTCGAGGATTTGTTCGGTGGGCCAAGCCAATTCGAGCCATTCTTCCGTTTCTATTTGGAAAAGTACAAGTACAAGTCAGTTGTCACCGATGACTTCAAGAGTACTCTGTACGAGTACTTCAACGGCAAAGCCGATGATAAATTGACGCAAATCAACTGGGACGAATGGTTGTACTCGACGGGTCCATTGAAGATTGTTCCTAAATACGATACGAGCTACAGCGATGCTGTGCACAAGCAAGTGGAAGTTTGGAACAACAACCCAATCGATAAGATCAAAAATCACCCGGACATCGATACGAATTTGCATGTATGGCAATTGATCGGATTGCTCACTGAGTTGGTACAAAATCCAAACAATGTCGAAATAACCGAAGAATGGATCAGTCTATTGGAAACTACATATGGATTTGTGGGTACACGCAACTCAGCTTTCCTGTTTACATTGGCACGTTTGTACGTCAAGGGACGATTGTTCAATCGCCTGAATCAAGTGTTCAACTTCTTGAACAGCAACTTCCGTATGAAGTACGTACGGCCAATTTATCGCGATTTGGAAAAATGGCCCGAAGCCAAACCGTTGGCCATCGAAAATTTCCAGAAGGTTAAATCACAAATGATGAAATTCTGCGCTCAATCCGTTGCCAAGGATCTGGGCATCACTATTGATATCTAATTGTTTTGGGCATCTCCCACAGATTACAAAAGGTGCAACTAAGTTGCAAATTGAAGCAATTTATATAAAAACAAATTGAATTTATCACTCCTTCTAAATAAATGTTCAACATTTCTATTTTTGCAAAAACAAAAAGACGATTTTTCATTTCTATATCGATATTCTTTTCAGAACAATTTTTTTCTCTCTTTCAGAATTGGTTGTATACCTGAATTTGGTACTTGAGGTAGGTAAAAATGGCTGTTTCTTTCTATCATGCAGGCATTTTTTTCACTTTATCTTCTTGTTCAACAATCACCGTACTAGATCGGCAATATAATTCTAAATTCGACTGCGTTTTCTTATTTCTGAAATAATTGGTTTTTCTCAATAATTTCTTTTTTACATCTTTCTGAATGACTCCCTAAAATACATCGATAATTTGCATAGTCAGAATGTCAGTAATGATTATTATTCCCGAAAATTATTGAAAAACCAAATAAACTCTGCAAAATCTAATTCATTTTCTTTGAATTACTTGTTCGAATCAAAAAAAATATTTGAATAAAGCGTGTGTTAAGTGGCGCCAGTCAGTGCCAGTCATGTTGTTCGCTTGTGGCCAACTTCATTGCGTTCAAATCATAGCTATGGCAAAACAACAAGGATGCAACAGGATGCTACAGCCAACAATATCGACTTAGAGAATGTAAGTTACCCTAGAAGTAATACGTCAAATGTCATCATCATCATTATCACATCCGGTAGTTTATGGTTAATTTAATTTTATTCTGTTATTCTTTCACATTCATCATTAGAAAAATAAACAAGAGGATAACGGGGATTTGGCGCCATTTACAATTGATATACCACAATAAGATCAAAGCGACGATCAACAATCGCAACTTCAACAGCAGCAACAACAACAGACGGCCAACCAAGCGCAAGATTCAGAAGCGATGGGCTAAGAAACTAATAAGTCCGAAAATAGTGTTTCCAGTAGTAGCCGCGATGATGTTGACGACGGCGGTGATGAGCCTGACAATAATGAAGGCCGTAGAGACAATCAGTGTGTGACATGGAAAGAACTTAACGAATTTCGCATGGAACTTGACGAACGATTCAATGAATTGGTGACGCTAATAAATGCTAGATTTCAAAATGAAATTTGATCTTCCAATAAATATTCAACAATTTTCAACTCAAAACCACAATCTTTCTTTTCATGTTGAGAACATTGATTTTATTATATTTTCAGACTGGGTTTAATGCATTTCTTGAGGTATACTTAGCGACTAATTCGAGCAACTTTTTACAGAAAAAAAATTCACTTAAAATCGACTTTAATGGACAATTTACATGTAAGAGGAATGTTTAAGAAAAGAATTAGTTTTATTTTAGAAAAAATGGTCGACTACAAAGCGGACTGGACCACCATCATTTGGTATCATTTTGAAGCGATCTATGGAATTTTGGCACAACAACACCACGGTCACGGTATCATCCGACCTGATCCATGAGAGAGGTCAACAGCGTCATTTACCTTTTAATTAAAGGCAATGACGATGCAGCTAACGTTATGTCTCATTTATATGGTCCGAAGATGCTGAAAAATTTCGCTGAAAATAGAAAAAAGAAACGGTTCAAAAATATTAGTAAATGAATAAGTTAAATCAAACGCTTGCTTGCGCATACCGGTGTGGTGAGAGTAGGTTCCTGGTAAATGTTTGACAGCATCGATAGTTTCTTCTTTAAACTATTGCCATTCGTTTTCTTAGGACTGATTGCGCCGGGGCAATTGGGTAGAATTGGTACCAAGTCATTGTTGCTGTCGTTGTGTTTGTGCGTTGTTCCCATGTTATTAGCGATGCCAACACTTTTCCAGTCGGTGATGCGTCGTTTGCTATTGCCATTAGTTGGATTGATGGCATTGCCGATTTTCCCTTGTGACGTGAGCTTCAGGTTGCCGGTCAGCCATTGTGGCGGTGGTAGTATTCGTGGACTTGAATCTTTGTTTTGTTGCATAGCATTTTGTGTGCTGGTATCATGTGCAAGAATCGAATTCAATGTGGTGTTATTCAACGGTTTCAATGTTGCGTCGATTAGGTTTTGTGATCGATCACGTTTGGTCATAACACCAGCTCGTACATTGAATGGCATTTGATTGGACGGTTGATTGACAATCGGCTTGCTCAGCTGATTACTCTTCGCGAAGGTGATTTGATCAGCTACGCCCAACACATTCGAATGACGGCGATAGTTAAAGTATTGCTGAAAAGGTAAGAAAAATATGGAATGAAAGGCAACATCCAGATAAAAGCTTAAAAATTCACAGCTTTTCTTCAAATTTTTCTGATTTCTTCAAAGTGATTAACTAATCTTCAACCTCAGTAGCTGTTCTTATGAAAAAGGTAAAATAAACTAATAAATAAAAGCTAAAGTGCATTCAAACCTGTGGTAAATTTTGTCCATTAAGATGAAGCGCATTGCCGGTGATATTCTGATTGTTGTTTGTGATGTGCGTGACAGGCGAAAGACGTTTATTTTGGATGAGTGTTGAGCTATGCTCGGTAGACGTAAGCAGCGATTCAGGTTGAAGTGATTGGAATGGTATTGGTGAGGGTGGCGGTTGAACTGATTGGCTTTTTTCAACGTTTAGTCCATTTGATTTATTCAATTTGGCTGATAAAATCCGCGAATACTTATTACTGTCCTTGAATGTTAAATTATTTATAGAAATTTGCTTATTATTTGTGTCATTTCCTTGCCCTAACTGATTGCCATCGCCATTGCTGCTCCCACCGCCGCCACCGTTGCCATTTGTGCGTTGTTTGTTCGATGAAATATTTGCATTTGACAATTCATCATTAATATTGACCTTATCGCTAAGCGAATCACCATTTGAATAGGTTTTGCTGAGTGTGCTGGTGTTCACATTCGGCTCGGACATTTGTTGTATTGGTTTTGCCAGTCCAACCGGTTGAAGTAATTGCGTTGATAAAACCGACAGATTGACTTTACTTGACTTTTCATTCGATTTAATATCTTTTTTCTCATCACCGCTTGACTTTTTCACTTTGTCCGATCTCTTTTCATCGTTATTCCATCGTCCATTTGAACTGTAGCTTGGGATTCGTTTGAGCAATGGATTGACTTGCATTTCTTGTGCCAATTTTGCACGAAGTTCACTCAAGAAATTGTCTAAGAAATTATCACGTACAAATAAATCGTATTTGAGTAGTTTACCGGTATCGGGCCGTGCATTGCCATCCATTTTTAGGCATTGTGTCAAAAAATCAATACTATCTCGATTCCAATTGGGAAACATTTGTGTTAGACTAGTGTTTTGCTCCTGTTTCATGCCACGAAACATTGCATTCCGCATAATCAGAATCTGATGACGTGAACTTAATTTGCCCAGAATACGAACAATTTGAAATAATTGATCGATGTCCGATTCGCCGGGAAATAACGGTTCACCCGTCATCATTTCACAGTACAAACACCCAACCGCCCAGATATCCACTTCTTTGCCATATCTATCGCCAACCAGCAGCTCCGGTGACCGATACCATCGCGTCGCCACATAATCCTATTATTTTGGAAATTTTTACCATAAATTTATTATTAGAATTTGAATAATGAAATTCCGGCGGCGAGAATTAAACCGTCACCAAATCACAACGCAATGTATGTGTGTGTGTGACACATTCATTGGGTTAACGTACCGTAAACGTTTCATTCTCTGAATATGGGCGGGCAAATCCAAAATCGCACAATTTTATCACACCCAATCGAGACACTAGCACATTTTCCGGCTTAATATCACGATGGATCACCTGAAAATGAAATGCAGAATGGTTTCGAAAAATATACTTATGTATAAAATATTAGGTAAGTAATCTAATTAGTAATTACTGCAAAAGACGGACAGAATATGACATGAAGGAAATTTAGAGACGAAAAGAAAATATCAAAAAGAAGAAAATTTAAAAAAATTGAACAATTACGTCAAAATTTGAATAAATATATTGAAATGATAGAAAAATGTGTCGATTTTTGTGGAACTTGAAAATCTAGCTTAAACTTGAGGATTTTAAATAAAATTTTGATGGGAAAATACCGAAAAAATGATAGAAATCGTAAGAAGAAATGATTTTCCAACACTTACATCATGTGAATGGATGAAATCTAGTGCACGCAGCACTTGGTAAATGTATTTTCGTGAGGTAATATAGCCTAATCCACCGGTGCGAGCTTCCAATTCCTCGAGCACAGTATGCTCAAGATATTCAAAGACTAGGAAAAATCTCTTCTTTCGTCGAAATACTTCAATCATATTAACAAGATTCTCGTGTCGCAGTTTCTGTATGTGAAAAAAATAATGAAATTAAAAAACAAAACATTATCAAAAGTTATCGAAATAGAAAAAAGAGAAGCAAATAACGGAAGTATTGACTTTGAGGAAAACAAATAATTCCATGAATGCCAAAACCATTGGAATTAAGCGCGCGATAGAAATCAGCAAAACTGTAATTGAACCGAAATGTAATGACATTTCATAATTGTAATGGGTTTTAAGCATTTAGGTGATTTAGAGGTTGTTCAGCGTCATCGTGCATATGATTCACGGTGTTAAAATGTCGTGACGGATGGTCTTAGCACATACTCACTCGCGTATATGTACATACACCGCACAGTGCACAACGAAACGAAAGAGATCATTCCGTGCAATTTCTTGGCATTTAATATGTGGTAATTTCACTTTTATTTGTTTTAAAAAAAGGCGATGTTCGTCATCAACCTTGATTTTAATCTATTTTATGCTACGGAAACGGGTAGAAAAATGCATGCGAAGATATGGATGGGAGGGATGGGTGGTTGTGTTGTCTGTTGTCTCTGACGAGAATGGAAAACTTTAATTATTAAGTGGATAAGTTTTAAAGCTGGAAATAAAATCGCAAAGAAGCGATTCACGCGCACCGAACAGCAATGATTTTCTATGATCGATTGACCTTTAAGACGAGCACAACAATGTTCACCTAAAAATGGAATGTATGCATGAAAAGACTTTGAAAAGAGTTACGAGTTTAGTGGAGAGAAAAATAGCAGCGAACAATTTCCCATTGTTGCTGTGTTCTGTTTTGTCACACGATAATATTAGCTGCGCGAAACGATTTCTACCAACAACAAACACACATATTTTTATTGCATTTGTAATGCAGTAGAAAAGAGTGGTATGTTCGAGTTTTTGGATAACGATTAGCGTTTTGTCTGTTGCGGAAATGCCAAGCCGCATTTAAATGCGGTACACACATAGAGAAAGCACAAGAAATTCCCAAAACTGCAAACAAAAATGTGTGAAATCCGATGAGCTTTCAACACTCATTTCGGTTCTGGATGTGTTGTGTGAAAATTTTGCAAATTCCAATGATGTTTGTGGTTTGTTGAGAGAAATGTGGTTCCTTCTTTTATTTTCTTGTTCCGTGCTGACATTGGCCATATACCATTATAATCGCCGCGGTGTTTTTCTCTATGCACTTTCTATTTGGTCCGTTTATATTGGGATCTAAAATTAGAATACCAACAACGGTCTGCACACCACTCGAAAGGAAAACCACACATTTCATTTTTTTTCGTTAGTTGCAGTTGGCTTGCGAGTATTTTTTTTTATTTCTCTTTCGTCGGTCGATGTCTAACATAAAGTGTATTTTCTTCACATTTGCATACTCATTTAATGTCTGCGTTGTTTGCGTAACAACATGAATATTTGCCTATTATTACGTTTGCTTTCTCTTTCTTTCTTTTTCTCCTCGTTGCTTTTTCCCCATTACCCTTCATAATTCGGTGTACAAACAGTTTTCGGTCGGTAACAAAGGGGAGTGTGTTTTTTTCTATTCTTCTTTTTCATCGAGTTGACACTCTTTTTACGCAACAGCAGCTCACACACGAACCCAAACCGAAACCAAAACCGATGATGAATTGTCCTTCAGCCATCAATCACAGAAGCGTTGCTTACCTTTAACATTCGGATTTCTCTCAGGGCCATTTTACGCACGGTTGGATCGTCCTCAGTTTCCAGAAACTTCTTTATCGCCACATACTGACCCGACTCACGGTGGCGGCACCGCATCACCAAACCATAACTACCTTCACCCACCACCGATATTATATCATATTTTTCCATATTTGCTTTTCCACTTCAATCACGTTCCACACACACACACACACACTGAATTTGCGAGATATATTTTTTGGACTTTGATTTCTGAAACGATTACAATTAAAATGCAGTTTATTTAACATGATGATTAAATTTGATGCCTAATCAAAACAAATTGGATACTTGAAAGGGTTTCAAATCGACAAATCAATGCTTAATCAAATTAAATCTTGTTGATAGTTTTAATGCTTAACTCTCTTGAATAGTGCATGTTCTTTTTAAACCCTCAATTAAACTCTTCAATCGTCAAAGGATATCGTCCCTTTCGAACGAATCGTCTTTCTCTCTTTCATTGAACTACGATATTCGTTGAACGAATGTATCCAATGAGATTGTTGGAGTTTTCGACTGACCAAGTGTTAAAATGCACTTAGAGTATCGACTTACTTATTTATTGGATGTCAGCTTCATATTTACATAATGTTTAAATGTGAGACGTGTTGCTGTTTACAACATGCCGCCGTCGTCGCAACGTTCGGTTGACGCATAGACGAAACCACTGAGTTCTGATCACCGGAAGAATGCCGTCTGGTCCGGACCTGCAACGAACAACAAATGGAAATGGAACATAAAGTAATGAGAAATCTAATGAAAACCGAAGCAAAAATGAAACAATTGAAAAAAAATGATGAGCAGATGGAAGGGAATAGAGAGAGAGAGAGAGAGAGAGAGAGAGAGAGAGAGAGAGAGAGTAGCCAACTGATTTAAAATGAATTATTTAATGCTGGAATGGTTTGGGAATAAGTAATTGTGATTAAGCATTAAACGCGCGTCACGAAACAAATCATGTTTTTCAGCCTTCAGATTGTTAATTTGGCTAATCGACATTTTGTGGAATTTCGATTTAACATTTTTTTCCTTGTTATTTTTCTACGCTCTCTCTCTCTCTCTCTCTCTCGCTCTCTATTCCTTATGACACATAAGAAAGTGGTGCACACGCAACACCAACCATTTCCTTGTACTTTGGTTCGAAATGGTTGTTGTTATTGGTGGTTTCCTTCGGTATGGTTCCGGCTTGAGTAAATGCATTAAAAATGTGCTCTTGTTTTCCTTTTGCGGTGTGTACTTTATTTGAAATTTATGAATATTATCAAAATGATTGCATGCGGCGAATATTTTATAATGCATTTGGTCAAGTCAATCACACATATTTCGGTCGGGACGAAATCGATATGATTTCTTGTGCCGCACACTTCAATTTTATGTGTGGGACTCTCTGCATTCCAATCATGCCGACCAACCATCAACAACAACATTTCCGCATGCAATTCGATGCTTTTTCTTCACGTTTTATTTCCGTGCAAATTTACATTTAATTCATTTTTTGCTCCGGTTCGCAATTATTTTTTTGTTCTTTGAGCACACGTCTCGGGATGAAATTACAATCTACATTTTACTCTGCACACATTGAGGGAATAATTGTAATCCTAGCATATGTATCACGTGCTGTCCAGCACTTCAATCACTTAAAACTCGGGCGCAGTATTTCAGTTATTGATTCCACTTATGTTTCGTATTACGAAAACTTTGTATTTTATGTGGCAACTTAAATAAATAATTCATCCATTCGATTGGCTAACGAGCTGAGAACTTTTTTCGTGGGAACAATCATATCGAATCGGCGACCAATTTTCGTTTGTTTATTTTTATTCGTGAAATAGAAAGAATATCAAGAGAGTCTAGATGTTTCTCTATGTTTCGATATGACAAAGTTGTCCATTCGAGTTTTAGCCTTGTTAAAAAAAATAAATGGCGCCGTTGTCATCAATGTTCCTTTCAAAATCTCCCGTACTTGATCTTTTATAACAACAAATAAAACATTGTATTCATTAACGGCTGAGCTAACGAAAAAGCATGTTCATAAAAAAAAACCCTGAACAAAATCATGTTTATTCAAGTGACAGCCTCGTAACGAAAATACTATGCCATTTTTCTTTTTCGTTGCGAAAATGCTTTGCCGCGTTAAACCGCGGGAAAAAAGCTCCCCGAAAGCAAACATTGTACAACCCAGAAAAAATTGTATAGTTTCGCTGGTCAACTATTGATTTCTTCTGCGGGTTACGTGTTTCGGTTGTGTGCTTGCGGTTGTATGTGTAAATGCCTTATTCTCCACACTAGCACACTCTTGACCACTCTGTTCCATGCATTTGCTGACCAATAAATCTCCCGTTCAAACAATTCCACTTTCAAACACCATTCAGTTGAATGGCCGCAACACATTGATCACTCTACACACGGTAAGATATATTCAAATCGAATACACAAAACGAAAAATTAAATGAAAACATTAAGAGATTGTATCTTCGTCGACAAAGTTGTTGTCGTTGTTGTCAAAAAGAACCAAATACACGAATGAACCTATTCACTTGGAAAACTTTGTAGCGGGTACTAAAACTGTCGTTTTTCACCGAAAATATTCTAATTTTTCCTAACCCAAAAGGAAAAACCGAATATATGAGGTGAACGAACTGCTGCGTGTGCATGGAATCGCAGCGGGATTTTGACTAAGAAACAGCGTTAGAAACAATTTCAGACAACTGATACATTCTAGTGTGGCCACTATCTAACTGGCCTGTTAGTCGCTGAGTACTCTTCAGAGAAAAAAAAACATAAAGAACATAATGGGAGATGCAATGATAGCTATCGATCAATATTTATTGGTCGCAATGGAAATTTACCGAACAATGCTCTAAATTATCTTCATGTTGATGGTTGCTCTTCATTCAACTTCTTTGTTTCAATTGTTGACAAGAATTTTCAATGGTTCTCATTCATTTTTACTGGAATTTTGGTCGAAAAAATGCCTTCTATTCCCAATAGGGAGAAAATATTTTTTGTTCTGGACTAGATATGTTCTGAACCATTGAAATTTCAATGATTGAAATCAATTTCAACCGTAATTCACTATGACAAAAATGAAGTAAACTACCACACCTGTCGACATACCAATTGAATTTATTCTTATCAATCGACACATTTTTTTCTATCAACAGTGGAATTCCAATCTGTCGACTGACACCCGACCAAAACATTAACATTAGCCTTGACCAAATTGAGGTTGATGAATGATCATGTGTCCTGATTTTATAGAACTTTGATTAAATATAATCTAATATTGACCATTGGTAGACAATAATTAAAATCCATTTCATGCTCAATGGCTATGACCATTTGCATTAGAATGCCCAACTCAAGTGGGAAAAAAAAGAATAATCCCATCCACATATTTTTTCTCTCTCTCTCTCTCTATTTGGGATATCCAAACGGCAGACATCGTGCGAGAAAGAAAGAGAGAGTGAACGAATAGAACGAATTGTGTGTGTGCGCAAATGCACACAAATGTCAATTATTCATTTTGAAAGCGACGAGTATTTGGGTTGATTTTAATGGGGTTTTCGTTCCAATTCTATTACTTTAATTATATGTATTGACTTCGAATGTTTCGCTTAATGATTACCAACATGAAACGAACCAAATCCCAGAGCTGCGTTTGCTTTCCCGGGTGAAAACCAAAAAAAAAACAAACAATGTCATTTCACGGCTTATCGCGAATTCTTTCCCTTTCTCACTCTTCTTTTCATTCTCTCTCTCTCACTCTCTCTCTCTCTCTCTTACTTGGCTACACTTCACCCTTTGATTCGTTTGTAATCAATATTGCAAAGTGTATTTCAACTCTTTGACATGTATTCACTAAAGAAATTGATCATGGTTGTGCGTTCGGTTGTTCGAAAACATTCAGCCGATTCATCAGCATCGAAACATAAATATTTTCATATTTGCACTTCGCATCGGAATTTATTTTGAAATATAATATCAAAACACTCGACATTTTCTGAGTAAACGGAGCATTTCATTATGTTATTTGATCGCATCGAAGTAGCCGTAAGGTGGTCTTTACATACGGACGGTTCCACTTTTGCAAGAGTTGACGGAAATGAATTGCATCGACGGAGAGAAGCAAAAGAAGATAGAGAAAAGTCATGACATCAAATGATCTTCAAACATGGACCGTTTTATGCATTTAAATATATTGTTTTGACCCCAATCAAGGCTTGATTGAATCCAATGGATTTGTTTTGTCTTGTTAAACGGTTTGCGGCTCATTTGGAAACAATAAACCGCTTAAAATTCGTCATCTCAGCATAATTTGATCTGCGAATTTTATTTTTCAAATTTATCGCAAATTGATAACGTTTAAATGGCATTCTCTCTTCAACAAATTCTTCAGCAGAGTTCTATCCAGTGATTTTTTTTTGTCAATAAAAAACTCTCCAGCTGGAAAAATTTACCAACTGAAAAAAAAATTTACATCAGAAAATACGAACAGTTTTTTTGCATTTGCGCCAATAAATAGTGCAGCTGAGTTGTATTGTCGGTGTATACAAGGGCACCTTGTATAATTGAATAAATCAACGCTCATTCAACGCTGTGGTGCTTTGCTTTTGAATGATGTATGAAGAAAAATCAAATATTGACAAGTTGATTGTCTAAGATTTCGATTCGTTTCTTTATTTTGAATCGAATGTTATTTTTGGTATTTCGTTGATTAAATATGTAAGCAGGAAGTGTATTGTGCTAAAAATAGCTCGGAAAAGGTATATTTATTCATCGAAAAAACGAACGAGTAAAATAACAAGCGATAAGCTGTGTAGCTTTTGTGTCATGAATAAAAACTTATTGGATGCGCTCGTTCATTCGCGCGTCACACGATGTGAAAAAAAAAACACAACAATCGAAGGAAGGGAAGGGGAAAAAAACGTAACAAGAATGAAAAAATACTGAATTGATTCAGTTTATTTTTTTTTAATTGAATCCGAAAATAGAAATTTCCATTTGAGAAATCAATTATTAAACGTGTTTGGTAACGAAAAGACGGCGAGTGCTTCGCCATTGACATTTACATTTACATTGATTGTGAACTTTTAGCTTCGTACTTGGAATGGGACGAGACGATGGAACGGAACGAAATGACGGAATGTAACAGAGACAACAGAAATGATACCAAGAAATAATCAAGGCATTTACTATGCGAACGTTATTAAGATAATTATTTGCCAATAATACATTTCGAAAGGACATTTTTTTCATTGGAAATTATTGTTTGTTTGTGTGTGTGTGTGTGTTTGATAATTCGAAATGATTATTTGTTGAAAATGATCGCAGACCAGCTGTTTAACATAGAGCAACAGCGAAAAGAAAAATCGTTCATCAAAACTTTGCCATTGTTGATGATTGAAAATGCATTGGAAAATGCACACACACACACACACGATACAATGAAAGAAAAGAGCCGTATAACCGATTATCATTGATTGTGTCCTTATTTCGATTGGGAAATATCGCATTTTTTGCTTAGCCTTCTTCCAACAACTCCAACTGGGTAAAGTGTTGTTGTTTTTCAGGAATTTTACTGGAAAATATCCAAAATAAATAGAACAAAGGCATAAAAACTCGTTCTAAAGCCTTTTGTAAGCTCTGTACAAAGGCGTAGAAAAAAAGCAGGTAATCTGCATGTATTTCGATGAGAAAATCGACCCGAAACACCGAGCATGCTTTCAAAAAGTGTTCACGATTTTTGTGTCGCTAGACTCTAGTCAAACATTGTTGATTTCTGTTATTTTCCGCTGTCATTCGCCGTTTCTAATACTCGAGTCGTTATTTTTTATGTATTGTTTCCCAGCAGAACTACACCGAATTGTGAATGGGCTCAGTGTTTTTCTCTCCGGGAAAAAAAAATGACAAACTTACGAAGAAGAAAAAAAAAGACACAACAACTACAATCACCACTTACATGCGATGCATTGAACTTTACTTAGAAATTTCATCGATAATATTATTGCTTGATTTATTCATTATTAGTTGGATCGGTGTCAATGTACGGCGAACATGAACAATTCATACCGAAGTGGATCCAATCGAATAATAAATGGATTAATAACAACATATCCTCTAATTGTGACAGAATAGCAAATGATTTTTTAATCATTACGGCACTTCATCGATAACTGATATGGTGGTGCTGTAACATAGAGCGAGTGCCTTTAAATAATTTCACTTAATGATAAGTTAACTGTTGTTGACTGAAGCGTTTTAAATGTTTTATGCATATTAACTTTTTCACTCAATAAATTTTCGTTCACTTGAGGATCTTCAATTGCTTGAATAATTCATGAAACCGATGTGTTGTACATTCAACGACCAAACTCAACACATTTGAATCCAATGGATTCAATCCATGTCTAAGGAGTTGGTGTCTTAGGCTTTCCACGAAACCGAATCGTGCCAAAGGAAAGCGAAACCAACAAATCTGTGTCAGAACATAATTAAATCAACTTAACGAGCACCGTGAAATAATGTGTGGTTTTTTTTTCGCTCTCCATTTGGAATGCATTTAAATGCAGCAACACATTTCTGTTGCTTAAAAACTTCTTTTTTTTCCCGAGACTTTTCTGGCAATTTCAAACCTTGGCTCGACGAACAAAGACAACAGGCATTTTCACGCACACACGTTTGTAGTTCCCTCGTAACCAAACCGCAAACGGCAAAAGCCGCTTCAGCAAAACAATCGACAAAATAAATGGAAAACTTTAGCGAATGCCATAAATTCAGGAATCAGGACTTTACTATTCCACACCACTTTCATTCCGTTCGGCGGAAATTTTTGTGTGTGCGTGCGCGCTCGCCTTCGTTTGTTGTGTGTACGTTTTGAATCAATGGGCCAAGGTGTCTCACCTTTTTTATCACTCAAAAATGTAATAAAAATGCAAATGATAGAAAATCAAGGCGGAGAGACACATGATAATAATTTTGGCATTTGATTTCCGTTGCACTTTTTAACTGCGCGATTTTTTCTTTGCTTGCTCTCTCTTCTTCGGTCACCGTCGTCAATGAGGGTTAAATGTGCGTGATGCCAAAGTCGGTGCATTTGCGGTCACAACCAGACGCGAATAAAGTTTCGTGGAAAATTTGTGCTAAGGACGTTGTACACAGTTTTCATTCACCTTCAATCGAGTTTTTACGCGCTTTTAAGTACACGATTGATTTTAAACGAGCGAGATTTGTATCGAGGTGGCAAGAAAAAACATACTGAAACGAGCACAATTACACGAGATTGTGATCTCTAACATGGTTTCGTTTGGAACGAGGATATGTTTGGTTTTGGCTATAAATTGGATTTTCGTGTGACCAGAGGATGTTTGGGGAGGGCGAGTCTGATTGCATTAAAGTTCGGATTGAAGGCTTCGATTCGAAGCTAAATCTAAATAAAGGCTGAAGATAAATTTAGGTGAAAACACTTTAAGCTGTACGTTGTTAGTGAGGATAATGAAAGACAGAGACAAGATCCGCTCTTTTTCGTCATTTTTGAGAAGCCACCGGAAGAGCAACTGAGAAAAATACGATAAAGTTCAATGTTGCACAAATTCTCAGAGCTTGAATCAGACGGAATTCTTTCCATTTCTCAGAAACATTGTGTTATTCACCCATTCTATAGACTTGTCTTTCGCAGAAATTCATAAGAGTCATCCATTGACACCAAAAACTCACGATTGTCACTCAATCATTCATCGATTTGGATGAAAAAACACATTTTCTTTGATTTTATTAATTGAAACCAAACCACAAGATTTTCCCTAGTGAAATTTCTTTGCCTTTTCACTTCGTTCAATCGAAAATGGCATTCGTTTTAATCGGACGATGAAATTTCGATTGCGTTCAAATTCGGATTATTCCGATGCGCATTTGAATATCAATTTGTGTAAATTAGCATAAATCATGATTTACTATGGAAATTGTTGAAAGAGAAAAGCAAAACGCCAATACAAACCTGTAAAAGTGTGTCCTTGCGAATTCAATGAAAGTCGCCACTGGTTATGCCTGCCTAGTGTGTATATTTTACGAAAAAAATTCACAGCACCGATACGGACATATCGACTGGTTACGGTCGAAAATTCGAACAAAACAGGATCACTTGGTATTTCGGTTGGGTTTTTTTTGTGCCACCTCTAAAAATGTACACTTTCAACTTTAGTGTTTCCGTTTCCGTCAATAATCCAATTTCAAATACTAAAATTGCCAATTGGCTCTCTTCACAAACGCGAAAAAATGATTCCGAACCAAATAAGAAGAAATTTCCAACACGAGAAAAGGACTTGCAACTGCTGGTTAGATATTGTTCGAGTACGTTTCACCGTATGAAATGACATGCGACTATATCCATTAGTTAGTCAAATTGAACTGGCAAGCAAGTTTAATGTTTGACGCGCGTAGCCACCGTGCGCGGTGACGTCGAAAGCAATCGTTATGTGTTGTTGATGTTTTTGTTCTTGTTTTCGTTATATTTCTTTCTTTTCATTCGGTTCCTTTCTCGTAAAGTTTTTCCTCGTTGTCGACGACGTCAAGCCTATTTCAATACGCACAAACACCTGTACAAAAGAGCCTTACTGCCACCTGATTCGACCGTGTATTGGTGGCCTATACGTTTGATGTTGAATGCATATTCAAACGTAGACGAAACGGGGGCTTCATTCATCGGGAAAAAATCGTGTATGTGAGTATTGAAAGCGAAAATTCAATTGTAAAGGGAAAAACAACTACGCCAAGAAGTGGATTGGTTGTGTTTTCTTTTCCGAGTTCGGGTTTACTTATGGCAACGACAACACGTTCGTCGTGTGCCTACGTGCTCGTTTTGTTGTTTCGTTTTATTTTCAGTTGCACAAATACCAATTTTCAAATCAATTTCAACACCATTCTACGCACAATCTTTCTATATATTCCATCGCTTCCAATCAAATATTATAGAAAGGCACCCCCGTTCGAGCCTCAAAATGTGACTCATTCGAGTCGCAGTCAATAATGTTTGGATATTGGTTTTGTGTATGACAATTTTTGTTGTTGTTGCTGCTAAACAGGTTGCCATAGTAAAATGTCTGTTTTCAAACGACCGAAAACAGAAATTGGTTGAGAGAAGCAACAAAAAAGCAACCACCACCACCAAACGTCCATTCAGCATTCACACTTTGACATTTGACTTTTCAACATTCGTTGATTATATGGTTTAGAGTCACATCTTGTAGTTTGGAAAAGTAAATTTGAAAGCGTAGTCTGAGTTGATCAGTGACGGCTCGTGGTACTGTTTACCTGCAACAAGATCACGAATGTCATCTTCGTTAATCTTACTCATCTGCCGATATATTTTTCGTAGCCAAACGAATGATGCCAAATGGTCGAAAATGCTTCCTACGATTTAACGCAGACGGACATTCTTGTCTTGCAATGAAAAATCGATTCTCTTTCACACAGTTGAATTTAAACCATGTAAAACTGCCGCACAATCGGCGAATATGGTTGTAATTTTTAAATATTATTGGGGATCGAAACACTAACCTCCGTGGTCGAAAATTATTGTGAATTTTATGCATGCCAAAGTTTGAATGTCTGGAATGGTCATGATCGCAATATTTATTTTGTTATCTCAACGAAGTCTTGGATTTCCAAGTATTTGGGCATGTAATTAAACGGAAGAGAAACGGCGACCATACATTTTTTTGAAAATACACATATCTCAAATTACAACAATGAATGTGAGAATCTATAGGAGAACAAAACTGAAAGCTAAAATGAAAAACTTGATCACTCAAGCCAATCGTGATATCTAATGGTGTTTTTTTTTATTTGAACGGAAGGCAACCACGACATTTTATCTCAAGCTCATATAGTTCGTAACTTTTTTTCACTTGACTTCTGGATAGCGATAAAATTGGACCGCCATCAAAGCAAAAGCAACATGATCCAATTGAGATACAATTAAGTCTGTCTTTTTATCTGAATTCCCAAAAACATTATCAAGGGAATGAATGGTTGCTGATATTAGTTCGATCATAATGGAAAAAAAGTGTTCTAACCAAATTCATTTTTTTTTTTGGATCAACGGAAATGAATTTTCGGATGTGAGCCATATAGAGTAGAGGAGGTGAGACAATTTGCTCTTTATGAAAATTGCGTTTCTGTTTCATTGTATGAATCCAACTGAATGATAAACCTGTATCAATTTGATATGATAAGCATATAAAAATATATAAAAACTCTCATTATAGGACACTCTTTGCCAAATCTTTTCACTCTTAAGTGCACACACCAAGGGGCAATTCACTAAAAAGTTGTATTACTTTTTTCACGTTGTATTACTTTTTCAGCAGCGTTGTATTACTTTTGAGTGATTTGCCCTTGGCACACACACTCTAAAATTATGTAAAAGTATTCGATGAAGACTAAGTAAAATCGGTGATTGTTCTTGAAGCCCTTTGCAATACCATTTCAGCAAATACAATCCACTCTATATACTTACAATCGATTCAATTAACTGCGTTTCGAGTCGGAAATATCTAGATTATTTTGACTTTTGTTCTGTCTCTTTGGTGCAGGCTCACGAGAATGAGCTGTCACAAAGTTGCCCACAGCCAACAAGCTCAGATGCTTGAAAATACAAGCATACCCAATTCGATGAATGAAAAAGACAAATCATTGTCCACACGTTACTTACATAACAAATCTCTGCCACTTAACGCAAATCCAAATGTTTATTTTGCTTCATGACAATATTATAGTATTGGAGAGTATTTCCTCAAAAATTACGAAAAAAAAAATTTAAAGCGCGAATTTTCAAAGTTGTTTTATCCTTTTATTTTCATAGCGTTTATTATTTTTAGTATACATTATAATGTAATGTCTTTATTCTTTAAGATTGGTACTGTAATAATTTTCAAGTTGTATTTTAGAGTAAAAAAATGTTGATCATTGTAGTGTTTCATGATTGAACTTCATCTCTTTTTCGTTGTATTTTTTATGTGTTTTCAATTTTTTTTTTGTTCACATTTTCCATGTCTATCTTATTTATTTTTCCCATTTTCTTCATTCCTATGTCTGTCTTCGTTCTTATTGTTCAAACCATTAAAAAAATGTTCTAGTCAAATAAGAGAAAAAACCTCGAATAAAATCGGCAACTCCAACGATATGCGCACATTTTAACGAACGATTTTGAAATTTTCGGAATATTGAACACAAACATCCCAATTTACAATTTAAAAAAAATAACGCGATACAATGCTAAATAATACACGATTACGTAACAAATTTATCTTTCGATTTAACGGAATTACATCGGAATTTTCACGATGATAGTTAAAAATGTTGACGATTTTATTCAAACCTAACTTTCATTTCAAAGTATAGAACATCTAATACATTTTTGTGCGACGAAAGTATGTGTTTGTGTTCAATGGATTATTACAGGAATCTTTGACTTGCGAACAAAGTTTGCAGCCTTTGCGGTACGTGTGGTAACTTTGAAACCAAAGAAATTTATTAGCATTTTATATTAAAATCTATATGATTTGGTGCGATTTTCTTTGATGAATCTGTATAAGGAACATGCACAATGACGAAGTGCCAATTGGCAACGTTTCCTTCCTTTTTTTAAAATCTATTCCTATAAAATTTCTTGACATTCCAAGATTCACATAGTTCGGAATTAAAAGTTTTGTTCGACTTTAAAACCGGATCCAAATTGAAGCTTAACGCTATCAAAATTGGAACTTAAAATTAACAAAATTAAAATTGATTTTTTTCAAAAATGAAGAAAAAATTACAAATTTTTACGACAATAATAGCCGAGATGCTGGCATTTTTCGCACAGTAGTTGTGGGTGGAGCTTGCTCTGATCAGAAACGTCCAAGCCGTCGGGCTTTTCAAGTGGCCGCTGCAAGAAAAAATTTAATCAATGCAATTAGTGTATGTGCCTGAGCTCAACATTATTTCGATTGGCTTACCTGTTTGTGCGGATAGATTTTAATTTGGCACTTGATGCATTCTTGTGCCATATTGGCCCAGCTGTTGCCCGACATCCACTTACGCTTGCACTTGGTGCATTTGTATTCACCAAAGCAACGCTTTTTGCCCTGATACGGTGTACGGCCTTCGTTCTTCTTGCGTGCCTACATCAAACGGGAAATAAAGGCATAGTTTTGATTAAATCTCCAATTTTTTTAATCATTGAAAGGAAAAGGTAGTTTCAAAAGGAAATCTTCCCTTAATTTAAGAAGAAGAAAAAAAACCGAACACTTCGGGGTCCGAACAAAGTTAAAAAAAACCGAACGTTCTTTCAATTGAAATCGAATACCAACTATTTCAATGAAATGAAAATCAAAACCACAATAACTACGCATCATTTGTATGTCAAATGATTCACCTAAAATTTTACGATTGAAGTTAACATTTATCTTTTCAGTATTTCAATGATCTTCCGATAAAATATTTGTCGCTTTGGTCATATCGATCATCGCAGAAGTAATGCGAGAGAAAAATAAATCGAGCAAGAAAAACATAAATACTGGAGACTTTTTTTTCGATGTGTTCGTCTCAAGATCTTGATTGTTGTTTCATTTATTTATTTATTTATTTATTTATCGCGTACACAATTGCGGGAGGAATACGGTCAAAAGAGATGATCGCAATGATTTAATGTCACAGAATTTAATTGTTTATAGTGTGTTAAGTGTGTATGAGTGTGGTGTGTGCATGTATAACTTATTTGTCAACATTATCGCACTAAGTATGAGCAGAGCGCATTACATGACCATTGCAATCGATTGGTATTTTAACCATGTTTATTTCAAAGTCTACTATAAACAAAATGTGTAAACAAACCGAACCGAGTAATAAATAAAAAGACGCTCTAAGGCAATGGAGAAAATGCCCTTTGTAAAATCCACATTTTATGTGAACTGATTCTTTTTCGAAGATCGTGGTCCTATTTTAATGAAAATAAACGTTAGAATCGCTTTTTTACATTTTTTTTTCTCTCGTGAAATTCACGTTTATGGGGAAGATGGAGAAGAAGTAGGATAGCAGCACAGAATGAGAGAGTGTGATACAATCACAAAAACAACATTCAATTCTAGACAACTTTCGATGGTGGAACGTCGTTAAAAAAATCATTTGATTTAACAAAATGTGACGTTTCAAGTGCGTATTTGAATAGTCACTCTGAACGATGATTCAATTAGAAATGAACTAGAACTTACCAGTGGGCAATCGCGGATGAAATGATCCTTGTTGAAACATAAGTGGCACATGTAATCCTTTGGCACCTTTTTTCCGAAAGGGTTTTTGGTGCAACAGTCCAAATTTGTGGACAACGCAGACAAATGGTTCATGCCGCAGGTGTGCTGCACTGGTGTTTGACCGATATCACCCATTTGAAGACCATTCATGCCGCTTACCAGCGTCAGCAAATCGTCATTGTAGCCCGCATTCAATGTGTTATACAGTGAATTGATCGTTAGGCCATAGTTTGAGGTATTATCGGTCAGGTTCAATTGATTCATCGATGATGGTTGCTATCGTGGAAATAAAATGAAAATTCAGTCAGAAAGTGTCAGTGCTTTGTCGAAATAAATTTCGTTTATCCTTACCCCAACCACTGAACCATTATCTGGGATGGAGTAAAAATACGGAAAGGCCGATGATTGTGACTGCATCGATGTTGGCGATTTTGGAACGTCCAAAAGTCCATATAAATTGTTGTAATTCGTTGAGAAATTGGGTGCTTGGAATGTTGTTGGCGATAATTGTGTCGGTGGCATTTTGCGCTCCAATTCCGCCGTTTTGCTGGATAAAAATGGTGCAATTCAGCCTCGGATTGAAAGCGTTTCGGAAACTTTGAATCAAGATCACTCTATCGTACGTGAAAAGCGAAGCACAGTGCGTCTGAAACGAGAGCAAACGAAAATGAAATTGTTTGTTTTGATTGTATGTGTATGAAATGCCGTTTAAAATGCACGGTCGTTAGTTGCACGGCGATCTATTTAGCTGCGCGCGGAGGTTTTTATGTATCGATTGAACGACCGATTGAGCTAAATTGAAATTACATCTGAGTGTAATTAGTGAGCGCTCAGAATTTCCTCATTTTTCGATTTTATACTTTTTTTCGGTTTCGAAATGGCATTAGAGTACGTTTAGTTCGATGATGGGGTAATTGGTGTTGGTGCATCGGTTATGATACTATGCAAAAAAAAACACAACAACAAGACAACAACACACTTGCGGGCGCGATCGCATGAACACGCGTATTTATCCGTTGTTCAACCACTTATTTTTAGAGAGGCACAACAACAAACCGACAAAAGTCAACCAACAAAAACAAAAGGAACAAAAACGCAACCAAATAAAAATATGTGCGTACGAAAAAGCAACCAGGATTTTTACAATTAGTTCAACGTTAGATTTATGGATGTGAATTTTTTAAATTTTTTCAATACTCCGAAACTCGATTTGACTTTGTTTTTACTATCATCTGTGCACTGAACACAACACATCCATTTGACGATCAAAATTGATTGTGGTAGTTGATTTTGAATATTAATTCAAAATTGATTCGTTTTTCGACCGAAAAATCGCCGTATAGCAATATTTGGAACAAACACACGACCACATTTTTGATAATACACAATTTTCAACGATCGGCATTTAGAGATCGTGGAAAAATCATTCGCGACCGATTATTTTCTTCAAAAAAAATCCTTTTGCTTGAATTTATTGAGAAAATGGATTATTTAAAATAACTTACACGAAAATGAAAGAAATATAACAACAGTGAATGCTCCTGTTCTAAATGAATCGATGGAGATTGTGATCGTGAGCGATAATTTGAAAGGGACTAATCGTTGTGAAATCTCATAAGTGACTGATGTTATGATATGCTCAGCCGTTGACTTGTAGCAATCGAGCGAAGCGCGCACAATACGGTCGTCACACGAATGGGCGAGTGCGAAATGTGAAAATCGTCAAATACAATCGAAAAGTGGCTGTTTTTCACACTGCAAGGCTATGTATTTCACACTTGCTCGTTGACAGAACAGCCGCTACTTCATGACAGTCACGATGTATGTGTGCGCTCGCGTGTGTGACGATTTTCAAATGTGTCACAAGTGGGGATGTCGTTGTGTATGGGCGATGCTGTGTGCCTTGTGGAAAACCTATGCCGTATGAGAGATGCAAATACGTTGTCAACAACAATATTGACCGCGATCCTGTGTGTTGTTTGTATTGCGTAACTTGATTCGATGAAAAATACACAAACACATGCACACCATGGGCTGTGAATATGAAAACATTCGTCCAACGTATACAAGTTGCGTGTGCGGCTTACTGCACCAACTTGTCGATTGGAAACTGAGGTTTTTTCTTCTCAACCGGCTATTTTTCAAGTGCGCAATACAATGAGTTTGATATGTGACTAGGAGTCTATTTGTTTGAATACGTCTTCAATCCAATTGGCTTGGAACGTTCTCGGCAAACGACGACAACGATTTGTATTGTTCTAATGTTTAGAGAGAAAAAAAAACACAATTTCCAATCAGTTGAAGCTAGAATAGAGAAAATACTGATAATATCCCAAAATTGTAAAATGACATCCACTTGAAATGCTCATCATCAATGCATGCGTACCGGGGGCGGGTGTTCAATGTTCATTCTATTGCGTGCATGTGTCATTTGAACATTTCGAATTGTTATTTTTTTTTCGTCAGATCGTAAAAGTCAATTCAAAATTTACGAACCGCAATTGAAACGGCTCGATATATTCAATAGTTCAAATGTATCAGGCGCTGTACCAGCGTTAGTTTTATTACTAGTATTATTACCAAACATTTTTTTCGTTCTAATTTACCGTGAAGCGAGAATTTTTTTTTTTTTTGAATATTTCCTGTTATTCTGGACTGCCACAAAACAAAGCGACTTACTGGCGCTCGCATCATAATTCAATTATTTTGCGTATGAATGCTTCAAAGTGAAAATAGGACTTTGTATTTACGATATTAAAGTGAAACCAGAAAAAATTCTATTAAAGAGATAAAGAACATGAACTTATTGGCGATTTTCTCACAACTGACAAGAGATAAGTGATAATAGTCAACGCTAAATTTGTAGACTGCATTCAGAATTATGTTGAATATTGAATCAGTTTTTCTTGTTTCACTTTAAGATCGTAAATACTCATTCACGTTTTTATTTTGAGGCATTCATGTATATGATGGCAAAGAAAGTAAACCGAATTTTAGTTTAGACAAAAGAGCGCGAATCTTATGTAAACATTCAGCTGTTGTCAACGAAAAATCGACGAAAGAACCAACGAAAAAAAATAATAATAACAAATAACATGAAATCACGATCAGTTTGAGTGATGGAATTTTTTCGGAGTCCACGGATATATGCGATGTTTTATGTACTTTTCTCAGAATGCATAAAAAATGTGAAACAAAATTGCTGTTCATGAATGGACCGCGGAGAACATTAAAGGCAGAACATTCATGTAAAAAAAAATGGGGCAAAGTGCATGCGAATAGCTCACTGCTAATAATGTGCTGGCGACCATTTTTTTTTTGAGACAATAAATAACGACTATGGGCGCATTTTAAGTGTGTTCCCATCCGAGCTAGGACTAAACAAAATTTAGCGCGCTCATTTCCGGGAATTATTCATACTTCAAACAATGACCAAAATGACGAATATTATTGTGAGAATGGAATTTGATCGAAGCATTAGAAATGTTCAATGAAATTAAACTGGCTTTCTTCATAAATTTATTTGAAAAACGACCATTTTTTCTATCAATGCTGTATTTTCCGATGTCTAATATTCATTGATTTTTTTAAGATTTCGTAATTGATTCTGAAGTTTCAGTCAACTTGCGAAATCGATAAGATCGATCATTTTGCAACCTGAGTCGACGCATTTTCTTATGTCAAACGGCACAAAGTTCTCACGATCGAAGTTGCGTTTGTAGTATTTCCCACATTCAATAAAGCGAGAAAAAAAACTATGTACAATGCAAGAAGAATGTGATTTTATGCGCAGCAATTTTAAATTGCATCATTCAAAGAGTAATTCGATTCATTCCAAAATGATTGTTTAGCTTAAGTCCAAAAACACCCTAAAATATTGAAGGAAATGAACTCATCTATGGAACAAACTTGGAAATAGCCAAACGGTAAGCAAGCGTATTCTAGCAATTTTGTGTATTGCAACTCACAGAAGGGCCTTTTGAAAGAGGCTGCCTTTAAAAATTTCGTTTATTCCGCTTTTACTTAAGGCCGACGAATTTTCCATATGTAAAACATAGTCATGCATACGAAAGAGTTGGAATTGACTTTATTTGTGCAAAAACTCGCAGATGATTCGAACCAATCGAAATTTGCGTTGTCATATGAAAAAATACTTGCAGTCATTTTAGTTCTGCATTTAATTTCGTTTATATGAAACAAAGCCCATATAGTCTTCTTATTTATTAAATTATAGAACTTAAAATTGATGCAACGATGAGTAAAACAAAAACACTCGAAGAATATTTCATATTGGGTTAATCGAAGTGAACAAAAGGAGAGAAAATTAGTAAAATTGAAGGGGAAAAGGGGAAAAGGAGAAAAGATTAGAAAAAGTACTGAAGTTGTATGAAGAGAAGAGAAGAGAAAAGAAAAGGGAATAGAAAATTGAAAACAGAAAAAAACTAATCAAAAATATTTACGAATTAATTGATTCTGAAATCGAAATGAAATGCACCAAAGAAAAAACGAACGCAATCAAATCTGGAAAAATTCTCGAACAGAAACATCCATGAATTTCCCAACAAAATAACCAAGGAAAAAACTGCATTTTCAAAATTGCCGCGAAAAAGTTCAGCTGATGTTAGTTACGATGTGTTGCCCGATGTTGATGGTATTCTCGCCTGAATCATGTACTGCCATCTTGCTCTGTTCATTGCAATGTTTTTTTCTTCGGGCATACATACGAATGGATCGGCCAGTGTAGTCAAATAAATGAGCCAATTTTACATGTACTTGATTTTCATGTGCCAATAATCAAAGTGGAGAAAAAAAGAAAACGCAATACAACACACACTTCTCATACACCGCACCTAGATCTCTCGTCTCGTTGAGTTGGTTCATCGCGAAGACGTTTCGAAATCGTTTGACACAACCTTCCATATATTGTTCTCGTTCTACCGCACTCGTTCCATCCATTTCAAGTAAAAAAAGGAATCGGGTTTTTGTGTGAGTTGGTACAGTGTACGTGTTATACATATTACAAATACAACAAAGACGAAACCAACGAAAAAACGGGTTGTCTCTTTCGTTCGCTGCGAATTTGCTTGACTTTTTCGTTCGATACGAATTTTTCTTTTCGTTAGACATTGTTTGTTTGTCAAAATTTTCTCATATATAGTTGTCGAGGCGCGCGTATGCATACATTGCACTGAAAAGTCATAAACAAATATCTGCATTGGTGTTGATTTTTTTCTTCATCGTCGCTCTCTTCTTTCTTTCGTGCGAACCAGGCAGACAAGAGACACACAATTTCATTCGAAGTAAAACGAACGTAAGCAAGAAGAAAAGAAAAGAAAAGAATACAGACAGGGAAAAATTTCAGTTGTTGTCTTCAAGCAACAACGTAAGCATTTCAACAAAACACAAGTGATGCCATCGAAAAATATCCGTACGAAACCAAAATTGATGGCTATTAAGTGAATTTCCATCCAATGAATGTGACAATCAAACTAACAACGGGGCTGTGAGACTGTGTGTGCGCGCCGTGTTCTGTTCTATGTTTTTATTATTTATATTGAAATATTAGTTTGTTCTTGTGTCCAAAGGAAAACCAAAACGAAGAAAAAAAAAGAAGAAATAATCCAAATAATTGTGTGTGTCTTTCATAATTCTTGTGTGATCGAAAAAAAATTCTTGTGTACGTATTTTCTCATCCATTTGTATTTGGTTATTTTGTGCATCAGCGTACACCAGAAACAGTTTGACTCCGTGCATTTTGCCCGCGAATGAATGGTAAGTGGGGAATGTGAGTGAAAATTGCGTTGGTGATGATTTCGATGGAATGCAGAAAAAAAAGACGACAGAAAAAAATAACTTGAAATTATGCACGACGAAAAACCGATGGACACAATTCGTGTTGGTGTTTTTTTTCTCGTCTTCTTTGGTTGTCGCTCGCGTTACTTGTCAAAAAAAAACTGCACCTTATAATTGTTCTCTGCCGTTCATCGTTTTGTTTAGCTGTTAATTCCCACATTAGAATTTGCATTTTATTGTGCGCTATTTCTCTCCCTCATCATTTCAATTCTCCAGAGTGACGTCGTTTGAATGTGTATGCGTGCTCCATTCGGTAAAGTGAATTATTTTTTTCGATTGTTATTGTGACGAAGTCGATTGTTTTGTTGTGAATGGCACCGAAGGAAAAGAAAAATGAATAAAAACCGTTGTGGTGTGAGTGTATGTTTTGGCTGAAAGTCTCACTGGAAACATCAAACAAAGGCGATTTTCTTTGAAACAAAAAACAGGCATTTTGATAACATTCTCCTTTCCATTTTTATTGGGCCCAATAATTTTAGTGCTGCTCTGTCTTTCACTCTCTCTCTCTCTCTCTCTCTCTCTCTGGATCTCAAATTGATTCCCTTGCCTCGAAACCGTTGTTATTTTCTGCTCACTCTCTTTCTCCATTGATTACCTCTGCACCTTTGCACTCTTTGCATTGAGTGCCTCTCGCGCGCGCTCACGAGCCCACTGTGTGCATGTGAGACAGTGTACGTGTGTGTGTCAACAGTATGCAATCATAGTTTTTGCCTGTGTGTTTGTATGTCATATGTGCGTGCAGCGAAATCCAGAAATTGCAGAATGCATATGCGAGAAATGTGATAACACACACGGTTCGAATAGACAAAACAAGCATTGACTTCGGTTTGTTGCATTTGAACCAGTCGAAATTAAAGCAATGCAATGGGAAAATTTGTTAAGCGAGAAAAACGTAAATATCTGGCCAATGAAGTCAATCAATCAAATCAAATTGATGACTCGAAACGAAAAACAGATCCAAATACCGAACGAATAAAAACATCCAAGCAAATTGGACGAGAGCAAGAGAGAAGAAGAGTGAGAAAGAAAATAATACGCGCGCCGATAAAAATACAGACATCATATGCATACAGTTAGAATTGAGAAAAACAGAAACTTATGGCCAGCGTAGAAAATAAATCGGCGAAAAAAGAACCGCACATGAATTGGTGGCAGCGAGCGTGAGCGAGTGAACAAGCCAAAAACCAAAATGCAAACAGGCAAAATCGGTGTATGGATATCTAGTGGCCCATAAAAAAATGTTCTGACAGCGCGAGAAAGAGATATTTCAGCAGTAGCAGGCATCAGCAATAGTAGCACTAGAACGAACGAAGCGAGTGTGGCTGAACGTGTATTAGAATCATATTTCCCGTTTGCTTTCAGTTCACCGTCTGTTATTTTTTTTCCTTCTCTTTTTCTCTGTTCTCTTCTTTCACTGGGCCTGTGTGTTCCGCACACGATGTAGTGGTTGTGCAAACAGAATCAGCGTGTATAAAAACACAGCGCATTTAACATGGTAGTTGTGTATTGGTTTTTTTTCTTTCTGTGTATGCCTATCCCTCTCTCCTGCTCTCGTTCTCTGTCCCGCACATATTTCATTTCATTTGACATGCAAACGCGTCCACAGATGTGTTGTTCTACACAGAAGACAGTTGAATCGCTGCTGTCAAAACGACGACAAAGCAAACGCAACACACGAGTCGATTATCTTTTCTTTTATTTCTGTTTAACTCGATAAAAAAAAAATACACAGAAATTTAAAGCGAGCAGAAAAAAAAATTCAACAGATAAAAAAGTAGTCAAATTTTACTCGAGCAACAAATGCTAGAGTTCATGCCCGGACAGTGTGTTTGTGAGTGTTCGTGTCTATGATCGAACCTGTCGAATTGTGTGTTGTGTGTTTGTCAGAAGAAAAAACAAACGTGTTAATTAGAAAATTGAATCTCCGGTAGCTGTTCGGTTTAACGTTTGTAGAAAAAAAAACTGTGATGAATTCTTGAGATATTTTCGGTTTTACGAAATACGGCAAACAAGTCGAAAACCGATAAATATTCAATGCAACCATAGAGATCAATCGATTTGTTTTATTGTTGTTTTCTGTGTGTATGTGGTTTTGTGCTGTTTGAGAGTTGAATTCGTGTTGTTTTTTACTTGCTCATTTCATCTCTCGCATTTCGTGTAAAGTTTAAATTTAGACGGCCTGTGCTGATTGTGAAATGTTCAATGTGTAAATAAGGATACAATTTCGGTCAGGTATGTGGATTCCAGTTTCAACGAGTACCACCCAATCGAATTGGTTTTTTTTGCTTCCATCATCTTCTCGACCCGCGCGCGAAATTGAACTTTTTTTTAGTTGATTTACGGTTGTTTACGTGAATAACAACAAACATTCAATCCGAATGGCAACGTATCAAAGTAATCTGAACTTGGATCATGTGAATGAATATCGAAGATTCAAATCGTGTATGTGCGTATGTGATAAAATCGAACATGAATAAAAAAATATGAAATCAAACACGGAAAACTATAAATATTTCACATTTGAAACTGTGTTGAATTTATAGATTTTATGTCATGTCTCACATTTTTTGTCCATGTTTCATTCTCTCATTGAAGTGCGCCAATTGTAAATGTGGCTGGTTTTTTTTTTCTACGTTCAAGTGTTCATTTGCACCAACAAGTATCACTAGATAAAAAAACTGTATAAATTTTTCAAACGCGAGACTATCACCGTTTTATTCTCTCGTTTATTTCGAAATGTGGCTTGAAAGAAAAAATTAAGTGCTTTTTTGTGGTTGTTTAAACGGCCTGGAGTGTTATTGGCTTCGGTCAAAACATGTCTCAAAAAATGCGTCCACATCGCTTCATTTTATGTAAATTGAATCTTCTTTTGTAGTATTGTTTTCTGTAAGCCGCCCATTGACTGCGTGTGGAGTTGAATAGAGAGAGAAACAGGCAAAGAGAAATGTGTACACATAAGCACGTTCCATCGGAACGGTGACAATAATAGTACTTGATGTAAACGAAAAATAAAGTATACAAACGGAGGAAAAAAACGATTTAGTTTTCTGCTATTTTGTCAACGCGCGTCGCGCTTTTACCACATAACAAAAGTGTCTGAAAAGTTGGGCGCTTTTTTTTAAATTTTTTTACCCGACCAATTCAAACGTCGTTTAATTGAATGGACAATGGACATGCACACAAAGTGAGTGAAAAGTTGATGAGAATGAGATCTCTTTCACGTTTCCGACATTTGCATGGAGAAAACTTTATTATCGTCATTAGACTATAGACGAAGAATGATCAACATCATCATCATCATTTGGTACGATCAAGTGGGAAAGAACTTGGAACGGTTTTGGTTTTGTGGCGAGAACAAAATTCGATGGCGTTTAGAAATCAACAGCTGAACCGACTAGGCTTACTTAGATATTTAGTTGTTGTGCGCGCGTGTGAGGATGTATACGATTGTGCGCATTATAAGACGATATTCGCGCGCACATCTCGTCTCTGTTTCTCTCTTTCTTTGACTATCTGCTTCAATCTCCCATCTCACTTTAGCCCACGAATGAGACGCGTCTTTGCCAGAGAATTCCAAATGCAAATGATCAATTCGTGTGTGTTGTGTTGATCATTTGTATCTATTAGCTGTCGCTGCCTGAAGCAAGATAAAAATGTGTGTATTCAAAAGCGTTAATATGTTCTATCCAAAGTGCAGAGACGTTGGCCCGTTAGTAACCATGTGACGATCGTGTGTCATCCGTGTTTATGTTTGTGGTGTTCAGTGTCTCTCATTCTCTCTCTTTCGTTCTCTCTCAGTTGATCTTGCTTGTCGATCAAGTCAAGTGCCCACTGTAATTAATGTCGTGGATATACTTGCCTCTCGAGAACACGGTCTCTCGAGCGAGATAAGGCAAAATGAAACTAGGTGCTTGCTTGATCATAGTTTGAATGCAACAATTATTTAGATACAACTCTTCGGCACATCACTTATACAATCACCATCGCGCAAATGCAATTATCTCTCAAAGCCACACAAACTCTCTCTCTCTCTTTCTCGGTCTCTTTTTTGCTTTTTTATGGACAACACAAAAATAACCACAGCAAGTGATTTTTCTTTGCGTTTTTCTTCCATCCATTTATAACTACAGCGATTTTACTACACGAATTCGAATGATTGTAGCTGCTTCTATTATTACTATCGCATCGATTCATGGTAGCAAAAGAAATTATAATTATTTCTGCGGTTGCTGCTGCTGCTCTTTTTTTTCTCTAGAATTTCAATGCAAAACAAATTGTAGAGAATCATGCAAAGACTTGATCGGCTCAAATGAAATTATTTCTTGCATGCAAATTCCAACACTTTGGTTCCTGGATATTGTGTTTGTATCATCATGGATCCGAGCCAGTCAAATATTGCTCTTTGAGCTTTTCGAACATACAGCTTTATGGGCCATTCGCTTGACAAGCTGAATGTTCAATGTTTGCTATGAGGCAGCGTTGTATAAAGCAAAATTCCCTTTTAAACTTGAACAGTTGAATGGGTTCATTTTAGAAATTTTTAGAAAATACATATCCACTTTCCAGCAAATTCTACAGTTCCAATTGCTTTCAGCGAACAAAATTCAAGCCAAGAAACAAACTGGGCTCCAGGTTTTTGACCTTGATTTACAATTGCTTTAAATTCCTTTAAATTCAAAGTTGTTTTTCAAAGTTGTTTTGAATTCATTTTTCGATCGTTTCAATTTTTGGACGAAAAATTTTGATGATTTTTTTCCGACCCAATACCCAATTTTTCGATCACAGAAAAAATAACTTCCTGTTTACGTTTTGAAACGAAAAACAACAACGGTTTCCAATTAACTTTGTGACGAATTGCCCTGTACGCCCTCAATCTCTCTCTTGCACTCTAATTAAGACTTTGCATTAAATGTCTAATTCGATTTTTCACTAGTTCATTTTGCATTATTAGCCTCATTGCAACCGTGTTTTTTTTCTTTATTTCTTCGATTCTCGTTATGTGTGTTCGACTCGATTCGAATGGAATTCTGTGCGAGTGATCAAAATGATTAATTTTGCAATTGTTGATTGCTAATGATGAGTCGTAGTCGGTGATGCAAGCATACACACACATACATTGTCGTAATTCTGTGCGATTATGCATACAGAGAATCGAAACGATTGTTTAATCTCGTGCGCGCACATTCACGAGATTTTCGTTTGTTTGATCGGTTGTTATTTTATGTTTATTTGTGATTTTTTTTCTATTCACTAAATTTCATGTTATTTCACCACATTTTTTTTCGTTGCTTCTTTGGCTTCTTATTCGATAGTATTTTATTCGTTGCATCGTTTCACTGTGTGTGTGTGTGTGTGTGCGAGAGACAGAGAGGAAGGGAGGGAGAGATGTTATGTTGCACACAATAAAAATGATTGTTTATGTTTCATGGTGAAAACTCTCATGCAGCTCTCTCTAAGTCAGCAGAAAATGTAAGTGTAAACACAGTAAAAGCGAAATGTACAATCAACGAAAAAGAAACACACACACGATTTCGAAGGAAGAGTAGAAGAAAAAACAGCAACCACTGTGTGTGTGAATGAGAATGATTTTATTTGCAGTGGGAAGAATACAATGATTCGATTTCATTGCTTCTTACGAGAGATTTCACAATCGTTTGAATATTCCGTTTTTATTGAAAGTATTAAAACAAAATGTGCATTTCATTTAGTGTTCATTTCCAAATTGTTCACTGAAATTTCATTTAAAAAAAAAATTATATCATGTTGTTCGTTGAATCGGCTGGAAATTTGCATCGACTTCGCTTAATTCAAAATGTGGCAAAGCCAAATCAAAAAGAAAGCCGAAACAAAATGGATAAACCAAGCAGTTGTTTTGAATGCAACGACAGAAAACAAAAAACCCACATTGAAACAAGAACGCTTACGCCGGCGAAATTTTGCTGCCGGTCATGAAAATCGATTCGGAAAAATGAATTCATTGAATGATGACACCGCGCACGGTGGAGGGCGCGGGGGAATAATATAAAAGCCGCTTTATCAGCAATATTGAATGATAGCATATCGCTATAAAATCTTCCATTATAAATGCAAAAGTGACGTGAAACACACAAGTATTATTCAATAAAGAAATATATTTAAATGAAGTTGAATAACAACTGAGAAAAGGAAGAACAACACAACAAAGTGCTGATTATGATGAGAGCAACTGTCATGTCATTGTTTTTCTTCTTCTTCTTCTTTGTGATTGAGCTCTTGCTAAAAATCACATGGTTTTGGGTATTGTCGAAGTATGTGTGTGTGAGAGAGAAAAGGAGAAAAGGAGAGAGAAAGAAGTGAATGAAGGAGAAAGGGGTCTGAAGCAAGAGCTAAACGATCAAAACAATGGCAATATTGAAAAACAATGACGTCTAAGTCCGTTCATTTCTTATTTGCACACAGTCGTAGTTAATGCAATAGGCAATTTCCAATTTTCTATTCATGAACCATTTCACTCTTGCATCCCATTTCACTTGCAGTCCAGCACATTCAATTTTGGATACGGTGCAACTTCTGTTTACAACAAAAAGAAAATGCATGTTGCTTTCATTGCATCTTTTTTGCTGAATCGGTGGCTTTCTTTTTGCATACGCCTCAATTTGAGTTACAAGCAAAAGCGAACAGAGGATAGACAAAGCAATTCGGCCCATATACTATTTTTTTTCTTTTTCGTCGAGAAAAGAGTGCAAGTCGTGTGCCATGTTTAAAATATGTGTATTTGTTCACATTTCTCTCTCTCTCTCTCTCTCGATGTTTTTGTTTTCGGTACAGTTCTTTCTCTCAATACGTATGCGCAACGACGGTTGTTTCATTCGCACCAAATCGTCAAGCAAAACATTCCGTCGCACAGTCAAGTGAGAGATTCTCTCTGCCTACGAGTCTGTACGGTGCAAAAGGCGAGAACAAGACAGAGATAGAACAAATAGAAACAATAAATCAGAAATGCACTTCTCCGTACGATTTATCGCTGCACTCTAAACTCGGCATTCATCATCATACGTGCGCGCCTCACAATTATCTGTGGAATTTCTAATTTAATTTGAAATACAAATAAGCGAATGCAGTGAGCGGTGCACTACAAACTGCACTATATCCACACATAAACACTATGCACTGCAATGAATTCAGAGAACGAGAAAAAAGACACACCGTGTATGCAACGGTTGACACACAGGCGAGGAAAGCAAATAAGAATATTTAGCGATTGAATGGATGCCATTAACTTTTGTGTATACTTGACACTTGCGTGCTGAATGTGATTTTGTTCCCTTTATCTCTTGGTCTTTCACTCTCTTTTTTATGCTCATTTTGTCTCTTCGTTCGTTCGGTTGCGTCAAACGGAAATCATTCGTTGCGTTGCTGTCGCCGAGAAGCGAAAACCGAATTAAACAGTTCAAATGATATTTAATTTGTATCTGCATCTGAATCGTGCTACTGCTCGTTCGTGGTGCTTGCTCATACACGCATATATATATATATATATATATATCTACTCTATCAATTTATCGTGTTATTTTTATTTCATCTCTTCTTTGTGTGTTTTTTTTCCTGCGCATACAGGCGGTAAGGGGTCATGGTTGTTAGTAGTGGTTTTATGGATCATGTTCTCGCATACGACCGTTCGGAAGTTTATCTGCGTGCGAATGGTTTGATTCCAGCCGCCGCACAACCGATAAACAATACATTGAATCGTCAACAACAGGTGAGTGAACAACACAGGCAAACGCACCAATAATGCAATTTGGCACTATTTTACCTATTTTGCTTTCTCTCTGCCCGAGAGACAAATATTTGATTTCAGTGCTGATAGTACGTTGTTTTTTTCCACTTCCATTTTCGCAACACATAGAATCAACAGCCACAGCAACTGCCATCATCGCAACAATCGATAAATTCATCAATTATGCAACCGTCACCCAACGCAAAAGTCAACAACAATGGTCAATCGCCGGCCCGTGTCATTTTAATTTGTCATTCGAATTCGCATCCATTTCAAAAGCGAAACATTTTGCTGGAACCACGGCAAGAAATCAAAGTTGGCCGATCGGTTCCACGAAGTCGCGTCGAGGATTCCAATGCAATATTCGATTGCAAAGTGCTATCACGAAATCATGCCATCATTTGGTATGTGGATGGGAAATTTTTTATCAAGGTAATTTTGTGTGTGTGTTGTTTCTCCTCTTCTTCTACTTGTTTTTGATTTCAATAATTCAAGTGCCAATTAATATTGAGCTGGATTTTGAAATCGACCCGAAATCCGGGTCAAACACGCACATCAAACTAGCTCACGTGCTTATGCATTTTCTTTGCCTTTTTTTTCTTCACAGGATACCGGTAGCAGTAATGGAACGTTTATCAATAGCCAACGAATCAAGTCAAACGAAGCATATGAAATATCATCGGGTGATGTTGTTCAATTCGGCGTTGATGTCATCGAAAATTCACGAAAGGAAACGCATGGCTGTATCATAGCCGTACTCAAGCTCATCACACCCGATGGCATCGAGAAAACATCATACCAAAATCCGCCCAATCCGAACGCGTGCACATTCGACAATGACATATTTCGTCTTAAACAAATCATGCACGAATCATATTTGCGCGAAATTTTACTCGAAGAGAAATTAGTTAATTTACAAAAGGAGGTGTTGGCCACATGGTAAGAGACAATTCACTGCCAAGCGAAAGAGAAAATCCCATGATAATTGCAAATTTGGCTGAATTGAAGTATCAAGATTAAGATTTCAAATTCAATTGACTGAAATGAATTTAAATGATGTGACGCTTTTTTGATGAGCTTCAATTTGGCTACGTGAGCCGATTTGGTATTGATTTTCAAAATCATTTCGATAATTTAATTGAATTTTGTTTTGCGTGTTATTTTACAGGAAAAACTCATCGAACTCATGGCAAGCATTGATCCATGAAGATCTTTTACTAAGTCGTATCGATATTCTAGAGAATAAGTTATCATGTTATCAAAAGAATATAACAAATGAAAAGCTGCAAGAGCAGATCAATCAGTTGCAAGACGAGAAAGAAGTGTATCAAGTGAGTATTGATCGATATAACACGTTCATTGCCATTTTATTGAGCCTAATCTTAATTTGTCCCTCCCTCTCGCTCTCGTTTCGCATTCATCGCAGAAAACCGCAAAAGACGCCTTAAAGAAAGTGTATCAGGAACGATTGGCTGTAATGCGAAAGTTTACAAAGTTCGAGCAATTTTGGCAGGCGAGCGAAGATGAGTTGATGGTGTTGCGGGCACAGCTTGCCGATAGCAAAGAAAATGATGAAAAACTGCAAGAAATGAACAATTCGAATAGTGAAAGTATTCGCGAGCAAATGGCGCGACAGGAGGCCGACTGCAAAGCGATTAAAGCGGAATTTGAGGAGGCCAAACGTGAAACCGAAGACCTCAAAAGTCAATTGCAAATCATTGAAGATTTCAATGAAGATGATCTTCTGTTGGCCGATAATTGCATGAGCGGTGGCGATAAAAATCGCAATACAACCGTATGGAATAAGCAAAAGGAGATCATGAAATGGTTAAACAACTCCGATTTAAAGCAATTAAAGGATTCCGACGAAATCATCAATGCCATGTGCAATGTGAGTGTTTGTTTCAATTTTTTTTTTTCTTTTTCGCATAAAAATCTGTTGAACTCGAATTCATTTGAATGAGGGCGGACAACTAATTCTGAATTTTCATGCAGGACACAAAACACAAAGAATTCTTGAAGATCGACCCGCATCAATGTCTTAAGGTCTATGAAAAACTATTGGATATCGAAAAGAAGTTCTTGTCGTCAACCAAACCGATAAAGATCGTCACTGAATCAACTGCCTCATTGGATAATATGGATAATAAACGCAGTATTGGTAAGAATAAACGTTACGATTCAAAATTCAAACGTTTTTCTCTCAAACAATAACTAATCGGATAATCTTTGTCCTTTTGACAGAATCGGATGCAATTCTAATCAGTAATTGTGAAGAGAGTGCAGCTAAAAGTGATGATGATAGCAATCATAATACGGAAAATGGCGAATGTAAGGTGATCAGCGAGATCGAAACCAAGGAGAGCAACGCCAATGATGTGGTCAAGGTCAATGAAGAAAACCAAAATTGTCTAGAGACAACGGATGAAGATAGTCAATCGAATGCGGTTCGTGAATTGATCGTCGAACTCAAGAATATGTACAATGAATTCTTGTTACAAATTAAACTGGTGCAAAAGGATCTAATACGCTCTGCCAAATATGATGAACTAGAATCAAAGGTGAGCCCATATCGAATGTCCAATGTCTTATCAAAAGTTGAACCGTTTTTTGTCATTTTTCTTCGTCTATTTGAAATAAGTCACCGCATTTGATTTCATGAAATTAATTCAAATGTAATTCTCTTCAATTCCACACAGTTTATAAGTACAATGCTGGAGTTGCAAACATTGCAGAAGGAACAGCAACGACGCGAATTGCTCCACAAGATACAAAGAGATGTGGATGATTCAGCAGAAGTGCCTGTGAAAAGAGGCATCAGTACAAATCAAAGCGATGAGCTTCGGCTGAATAACAATCGTGATACGCTCCATTTTGACAATGATGCCAATGACAATGATATCGGTACAACTGTTGCCGATGACATTATCCTTATGAAAACTGATGCGAACAACGAAGAATCAGCGCTGAATCACACCAACACCCTTGTACGCGATACAAGCTCAGCAACGGTTACGGTAAATGATTGATTATTGTTGTGGATTTTACTTGAAATTTTACTCGAATGTCTTTGTGTTCAACATATTGCAGCCACAAAACTCTATCACGGACCTGGACGACGGTTTCGATACAAATTCAATGTCAACCATTGACGAAACAAACAATAGTAGTACAAATTCAATTATTACCGAAATCAACAACGGATCCGTTGCAGACGATGACTTCAGCGAACAGAGTATAACGAATGCGGTGAATGATGATTTATTTGAGACGCAAACAGTTCGAGGTTCAGCGATAAATGGTGATGATCGTATACACGAACTTGAATCAGAGGTAAGTTAATTTTTTTGAAAAGGGACATTTTCACTGGACATACAATGCAGTTAGTGTCAATTGCTTGAAGAAAATTGCCCTTTTTTAAAGCAAAACTTGAATTCAATTGCATCGATTCACATCTGATGTTATCAATCTGTTCCCTCCCTCCAAAAAGATAACGGCCGTGAGAGTGCAAACATTGGATGAATCGCCTGCATCAGCTGTGCTTGATAATAATTTGGATGATGATTATGTGGATGAAAAGGAGGCGCTCGAATCGTTCGATCGAATCATTGAAGAGGAAAGCAAATTGATCAATGAAACGGACATTTTGAAAGAAGAAGAATTGGTCGAATTGAAAGAGCGCTGCGTCAAATTGACCGACGATAATGTGTCGTTGCGTCGTGAAATAGAAACGTTACGCTTATCCACCAACAAACAATTTACATTGCTGGTGTACACAGCGTCATTAGCCGCCTTCATTGGTTATCTATTTTCCATATTTTTTTCATAATCGATGGAGACAACGTCATTCCAACGCCGTACGAACAAAGGCTGAACACATTTCGAGAGACACACAAACACACACGAAAAAACAAACAAAAAAAACGCATTTCAAATGAATAAAATGAAGAAGGAAAATCCCAGTTTGATCCGTTTTTAGTCAGATATCCGATTTGCACTAGAGTGCTATCACAAATTTTGCCTTCGATCAGCCCACACAATTCATTTATCTCTATCTCTGTCTTCGTCTCTGTAATCTATCTCTATTCAGTTCGTTCGAGATGTAAACAACACACACACACACACAAGTATATATATTGCACAATTGTGGGGAAGACAAATGAGCGACACGCACGCATTAGAATTTCATATACATAATTACAAACATTCATTTAGACATGAAAAATGATCATAATCTTCTGTTCATTTAAAAAGAAAGAAAGAAAAAGAAAAACAAACAAAATACACACAAATTGGACATACGTGTTTAAATAAGGCCCAATTTTACAGTAATTTATATACATAAAATTAAATAGATATGATGTAACATAAAACAAAATGCATATTTTTAAGAGCATTCAAATAAACGGTCAGAAGAGAAAACAAAACAGAAAAAACACCCACAAATGAACAACACACTCATATTAGAAGAAGAAAAAAAACCAACAATAAGTTATCATCTTTCCGACACGAAATATAATGAAACAGATATATAGAAATGGGTATTGAAATTAAAAATGGCAAACAAATAAATGACCGACCGCTTCTTTTCTCGTGCTGTCGAGATTAAAGTTGAGCCTGTGCATTGGTGCGCCGTCAAATTCTTCGGACCATAGTGCACTAAAATATTTCCATAATTGTTTTGTTCGAATCATTTTGTTTTTGCCAGAAGAAAGATGCCAGAAGAAAGAATTAACGCGCATCTTTTTGGACAAGTCTTAGGACAACACAAAATCACGCATAATTTAAACACATTTTTTGACTTGAAACGAAAAATCTTTTTATTTAAATTAATTCTTTTTTGTCGATCTTTTTTTTTCTAATTTAAATTTATTTTTATTATACCATTATTATTTCTTTTGTAGAAAAAAAGACCCATTAAATGCTTTAATTGTTGTTATAATGAATTTCATTGGCTCTAATTTTCTTGGATTATTTTTTTTTTCCTTCCGAAATTCCATTTTTGGTATTCCATATTCCAAATGGAAGAAATCTTCAAATTGAAATAGAAAAAGCTACGACAAATGTATTGAGGTGACGTAATTGTATTCTATTTTCGAAGCAAAGTCATTTTTTATGGAATTACAATTCTTAGGAAGGCAATACAAAGACATTCAACAATATTCTAAAAACAAAACAAAACGAACAAATGGCTTAGGTCAACTGCTGATGGCACACGCATACTCTTCAACTGTTGGCGGCATTTTCCTTGCTGTAGATTGCTTCATAATGGGTTTGAAATGAGAATTGACCAGTGTTTAATCGATGAGAATACCGTTGAAGTCGCATGTCCACATCATACCAATCACAAAATTTGCACAATTTCTCGAACTGATTTACAACAAAATGACCATCCGGTTTTCATTTATAGAAAAACAGAAGAAAAAAAACCTTTTGTGTCTCTCTTTGACAAATTTTCGACGCATCTTTTTTCGAGACATTCGTAGATAGTGACTTAACCTGTAAAAAAAACACATACACTGAGGATTCACGAATAAAATCAATACTTGGATGTATTTGGTCTTTACGCATTCAAGTGGCTGGCGATTTTTCGACAACAGCCTTTTTCCACGTGGACAATTTAATTTGAAGATAAACAAAAATAGACTTCAAAACACATCAGAATAATATGAAGTTTTCAGGAAGGATGTGTTTTGAAAAAAAAATTCAATAAATTTTCTCCGAAGCTTCTTCAAACTTCTATTCTGATCATATTTGAAAATAAAATTCATGAAAAAAAAACCTTTTTCTATTGCAAACACCTTTGATTCTTTGTTATTATAATAATGAAGCAAAAGGTTAGCACCGTTGGCAAATCGAACCACAATCACTCCACATGACTATTTACAATTGTGTGATAACGAATAATGAATAGTCAATATGATTACACTTAACATGAGCTGAAGTTTATTTTACATAGTATCTTCATTTTGTTGAGATTTCTGTTTTTCAATTGCACGAATAATAGAAACGTCGTGGTTTGATTCGGCGAAGCTATTGACCCTTCGTTTAAAGCACAAAACTTAAACGAAAACAAAAGGGAAAAAATGTTTAAAAAGTAATGATAAACACCATGTGAGCCTGGTCTTAAACTTTTCTTTTCGGTTTTCATATGCTCCATATTTACAATGTTAAAACAAACAAAAACCCCAACAGCTCTACAAAAATGCATAAAACAACACGTATCCTGTTGAAAAAGTAACAATTTACCAGAAAACGAAACCAAAACCAAAAAGAGACGAAAAGTCAACAAATAAAACATTCAAAAAATGCGACAAATGAATTAAATTACAACTGAAATATGTGTGTACTTTTTATTGCGTTTCGAATTGAGTTGTTCATCAAATGGGACATTTTGCTTCTTCTTCTTCTTTGAACAGGGTTTTCTTTTCTAAAACATTAACGTTGAATTCATAAAACAGAAAGAAACAATATTTTTATAACTGAAAATTAGGTATCCAGTCTGAACAATGAGCCATGACAATAACAGTCCACAGCATAGGTAAGTTTCTAATGAAAGAGATATGTGCTGCAAATTAGGAATGGTTTACTTGAATACTTGGTTTACTTGGTTTTTTACTCATGTTCATTTTTCAATTCGTGGTAACAGACTTTGCAAAGGTGTTTTTTATTTGATTTCTTTTTTGTATACTGAAACAAAATAAATATTTTTCTTTTTTTTGGAATGAGACAGTAATAAGCGGTAAGGTAATACGAAAACATTCACTTTGGAACACTCCATAGACAGAGATATTCTACGATGCGTTTTGTCTCGAAAATCAAATGTTCTAGGACAATTTCAATAAATCCATCGAGTTTTCAGCGCGTTCTTTATCTGCGTCCACGACTGATGAAAGTTCATCGAGTAACTTTTGTGCATTATGTGAATGTGTTCTGACCACTGAAATTATTTCAATGAAACATAGAAAACAAGAAATTAGTAGGAAATTGAAAGGAAAGACTCAGAGTCAAATATTCAAAGTCATCAATCTCACCCATTTGCGATACACTTCAGTTTGAAATGGTATATCGAATTGATTTTTATACTTTTCACGTTCGTTTCTCCCACTGATGGCGGAGCAACGTTTGAAGCCTCCAATCCCAGTAAATGCTCTGCATATCTTTCTTGCCAACGTTGATTATTCGCTTTGTGTCTGCGCTTGATTGCAGCAAACTGACTCTTTATATCAACCACTCTCGGATCTTGATCGACGAACTCAGTACGATTCTACGATCTCGACAGAAAATCCTCTCCCCACTGAAATAGATCATGATTGTCGAACTCAAATTGGAGTTTTATATGACTTTAAAAAAACACTTACCCATTCTTTATATCGTTCAGTTCGAAAGGGTTTGTGGTATTGTCCGTGAAATTGCTCTAGTTGACCTGGACCTAATTCCAATTCATCTGCTATTCCATCATTTTCGTCTTCTAATAACGACTCGGCTCTAACTTGTCGCATAAATTCAAAATAATATTGACCAAGACATACACACTCTTTTATGCCTTCATCCTTTTCAGCTTGACATAAATTTCTGGTACAATGATTTTGCTTCCTGTTTTGGATAAGCAAATAAACATCAACAAGTTCGGACGTCTAATGTATTTGCTGTTATACACACATCTTATCCTCGTGCTCCATATTTACCCGCTTCAAATTATTAATTTTCGCTTTTTTTCGTCCGATCACACGTATAATTTGTTGTAAACTGAATACCAATCCTTCGGTTAATGCCGAATGCCAACAATGGAACAAACATCAACTGTTCTTTGTTTAGCACAAATGAATTCATCAGCTGTGTTTTGACTTAAATGAAATCTATAAACAAACGATTTAAGGGTTCGTTCTTTCGTAGACTTTGAACACATTTTCTCCAAATTCCCTTTTTGAAATTCTAAATTCAAAAGAAATATCGGTTTATTTTTAATTTAAAAAAGATAAAGCAGCAAGAATGTGAAGTAATTGTATTCCCCTTTTGAAGGAAGATGACCATCCATTTTTCATTTGAAGAAAAACGAAAATAATCGTGACTCTCTTTAGCACACTTGTTTCGACGCATGTGTTTTAGAGAAATTTTTAGAAAGCAATTTTTCTATTCTCATTCGTAAATGATCACGTCTGTGAATCGAATTCATTGAAAAAACGACCTTTTTTGTTCCAAACAAACATTACTTTTATTAAATTCAACTTTTAGAATGTTTCCAATTTCATTTAATTCTCCGTTATTGTAATAATGAAGCAAACACCGTTGTCAAATCCAACCACGATCAACTCCGTATGACTATTTACATGAGAAATAATGAACTGAAGTTTATTTTACATATCTTCATTTTGTTGGGATTTCTGTTGTTACACTAATAAAAAGGAAATGTCGCGGTTCGATTTGGCGGCGCTGTTGACCCTTCGCTTAAAGCACAAAATTTAAACGAAAACCAAAGGGAAATAAGTAATGATGAACACCGTGTGAGCTTGGTCTCAAACTTTTCGATTTTCATGTTTTTGAATTTTACAATGTCAGAATCAAAAAAAAACCTCAGCAGCTCTACAAAAATGCATGGAACGAAACGTATCCTGTTGAAAAAAGTAAAAATTAACCAGAAAGCAGAAAACAAAAAACAAAAGACAAAAAGCCGACAAATAAACAGTAAAAAAAATCCGCCAAATGAATCAAATTCCAACGGAAATATGTATTTTTATTGCGTTTCGAATTGAATTGTTCATCAAGTGGAACATTTTGCTTCTTTTTCATTGAACAAGCTTTTTATATTCTTAACATTAACGTTGAATTGATAAAACCGAGAGAGACAATGTTTTTTACAACTAAAAATTAGGTATCCAGTCTGAATAATGATCCATTGTTCTTCCAACATCATCAATTGCCTGATCGGCAAGATCAATCGGCAAGATCAATCGACAACATGAGTAAGTCTTCAATGAGAGAGAGAGAGAGAGAAAGAGAGAGAGAGAGAGAGAGAGAGAGAGATATGTTGGTCAAAAATCAATTAAATTTATTTGATACTGCACGCTTCGTCTAAATATTGCCGTCGAATGTCTTGCCAGTTTTAAAATGTGTATTATCATTCAATGAGTAATGCTCATTGGGCATGCATTCAGTTGCAACTCATTACACGCTCATTACGAACGATTACCAACGTAATTTTTTTTTTGACTTCGGTTTGTTTAAAAAAAAATTATTTTTTTAGTGTTTCTTTCTTTTCGTGTTATTTATTCGATCGCTTAATCCAACTTATGATTTTGGTTTTGTCGTCCATTGGCGGAACAGTTCACATTCAAAGCATGTAGAGTCTATACGCGTAGTACACTATGTTCCATTGCTCTTATCAAAATTTAACTATGTTTTTTTTCTGTATCGCGTTCGAGATTGCAACTTTTTTTCAACAACAAACTGAAGGAAAAAAACCGGAAATTCATGGATGATGAGTAATTTGGTGTGCTTAGAAATATTTTGTTTGAAATGAATCGCATCTGATGAGGGGAATTCTTTCTCTTTCCTCGAATTGGTCTTTCATTTGAAAGGCTCTTTTTTTCTCTGCATAAATCAATTTCATTGGTTTTATGAGAAGATAGAAAGCTCAAGCTCGACTCGTCCAATTACTTCAATTTAATTTCATTCGAGAATCCAAAGTTTGAATCCTTGACCCGATCGAAATTCCATTCAACCGGAGAATAATGAACCAAAGAACGAAAGAACAATCTAAAATAAAAAACAAAAGCCTAAAATAATTTTAGTAAAATTTGATGGGAACAAATTTTAAACCAAAGAAAAAATCAAAACGAAATCAAATGTTCGAACAGAAAATTGTCACAGTATGTTTATTAGACTTTTTGTTGTTGTTTTTTTAAATAAGAATGTATGAGTTGCTGGTGTTCTTTTTTATTCCTTCTATCAACATTTTAAATATCTTGAAAGCATGTAATATCTAATTAAATATAAGTCTTAATCATATGAATTAATTTAATGTAACACTTTGAAAAAAAAAAGTCTTTTTTCTTCTTCCACTTCTTCTACAACATATTATCATCATTGATCTATTTATTGTCCTCAAATCAAACGGAATAATTCCATTAAATCCAAAGACAACATTGTTTCTCGAAATGAAAAACAAAACGAATTAAGTTGAATGTTCGAAACAACGTCATTTTTAAACTGTTGCTTGATATTTGTTTTTTATAATATTTATCGAAATAATTATTTAATTGTTGCATTATTTATTATTATTTTACACTTTGGGAGATGCACGCGCTTCTGATATGCAGGCGGCCCAACAAGTTTTACAATTAGACTACTATATAATTTATTATTTGCCCTTTGTTGCATTTGATGCCTTGTTAGGCTTCAAATGCATACAAAACAAAAGAATTCTTCTAACAGATTTCTCTTTTTGTTTTAGTTTTATAGTAATTTGTTGTTGTTTTGACGCCCAAGTGGATTCCGCATGGGTTGTTCTATTGGGCACACTCTATCTCTAAAAGGAGGGGGGGTTAGGTCGGTGTTTTTCGGTTACACATTGCTGTCGTATGGCGGTGGTGTAAATGATAATGGTTGAGCATTATTTACTAGATTATTGCCGGGTCGCATCGTACCATTCCTATTATCCGACGATGTAGCCGCTGCTGCCTGTCTCATTTGCTCCAAAGTAGCTCTGCATTTCGAATTTGAGAGGGGAAAAAGGAAATCACATTGAAAACAAAATAGTATCTTTTAAAATTATCATCTCTTCTCGACTAGAAACTAAGAAAACAGCCACAAGCTACAAAACAAATACACTGTCTACTTTTAAGTGGAGTTAACGAAAAAAACATTTTTGAATCAACAAAAAAAAACGAACGTTTTCCAAATAAAAAAAAACAAGGAATTCAATCAACGGAAAATCAAGAAAAATCCAATACCAAATTTGCTACTGCTAAGGTTAATTTAAAGAAAAAATGGTGTGAAATTTATGAAGCTAATTCATTTTGTACCGAGAAAATAGTGAGAGTTAGTGACAGATTGAGTGAGAGACATGCATTTTACACGCACACAGACAAACAATTCAAAAAATTTGATACTTTACACATTGAAAAATGCACACATTTTGCTTGATCGGATGACAGAAATGGTACGCCACTTCGTGTATTTTTTTTGTGTGTGGATTGAGTGTGTATGATTCTTGGTTTACCGCTACATGAAAATGTAGTGGTTATGTTTTAGTTTGTTTTTGTTTCTCTATTTTATGTAAAATTTTGTGTTCGTTTGGATAATTTTGGCTTGCGTTTCAATATTTCAATCATATCTCTGTCTGTAATTGCTATTTTGTGGTGGTTTAGCGTTTTCACTCTGGCCTGAACATGAGTTGAAAGGGAGGTGGGAGTAATTTGCATGAGTGGGCGTATGTGTTATTATTATCTTTTATTTTCGTTTTTAGTTTATTTCATTCAATTTTAGCGGTGTGTGGTTGTGTGGTTTTTTTTTAGTGTGTCTGTGAATGTGTGATTGAATGTGTACTGAAATTCAAGCGTTTATAGCGTTGTAAATGGTCAATGGATTTATGTTGAACGCCATACATCCGGGTCTTCCATGGCCGGTTGGCCGCCAGTTGGAGACATTCCATTGGTTGCATTTGCGGCCATCTCCTCACGCGATGCTCTGTTCCACATTTCAAATTTGATGGTTCGTATTTGCGTGCGCGTGATTTTATTTATTTTTTACAAAATAAGATGATTTTTTGTTGTTATCATTTTCGTCGATTTTATTGTTTTGTTGTAATTTTTCAACGCGATTTGGTGTGAATATGAAATTATTTTGTTTGGTTTTAGATTAGACGAGTATTGTTAGTTTGAAAGAGAGAATGAAATAAATTCAAACAGTTAATCAATTGATCTTATACAATTAGTATAAAAAGATGGTTAAAGAGCAACTCCAAATATAAATTGGCATTCAATTTTAGGATTTCTCCGTTGAAAAATTTCAAAATTATTGTCGTTATACTATAATGGATATAGACAGCGTTAGAATTAAGTCAATATCAGAGACTCACAAACAATCACAATTTATTCGTGTGCATTCTGAGAAAATATTGCTCATTTAACTTAGCAAGCAATTTTATTCGATTCAAATTTATACGTACTTTTTGCCGAGCGACATCATGCCATACAGAACACCCGTTGCAAATATCAGACCACATCCAAAGATGCTCGCCAATCCTGGCTCCAGCAGTACTGGTGGAATTGCCGCTCTATTCAATGAAATTATCAATTTGTTTTATTAAAAAGATTTTTTCGTTATAAAATATTTTTTAAAAAAAGTTGAAAAATCCAAAGCGAAATTTTGTTCAGCATTTTTTCTCATTGAAAAATAGCCAAAAATAAATTTAGAAACAAAAAAATGTGTCAGTAAGATAAATGACTTTTTCTTCGAGATGAAAGATCAATGAACTTACGCGCAATAGCCAGCTGCTCGCCACCATTGTGGTCGGCTTTCGACCGTTTGGGCAAATTTCTGTGCATAGTCAATGAACATGCAACAAACGGGCGCTTCGATTGACATCACCAGTATACCGACCAGTATCTGCAGGATGCCTGATAATACACTGGAGAAGTTTATCGTTAGCACACCGAAGCAGTTCCAGAATCCAAATAAAATGGCAACTGTGAATGGAATGAAAAATACAATTGATTACTCAATATGATTCAATACTTAGAAATCGATGTGTTACGCGAGTTCAATAAATTCTCATGAGCTGAACCGAATGAGTCATGTTATACTCACAGAATGCTCCAAATATGCCAAGACCTCTAGCTCCATAGCGTAAATACCAAGGTATATCTGATTGTGCTGCGTCTGTTGGGCCAGCAACCAAACCCGTCATTTTCTGAGCGAATCCCTCCTGTAATAATGTGCACAAGATAATTAAAAAACCACACACACACACACACACACACAAACGAAAAACTTGTTATCAACAGTGGTCCAAAACTGAAGGTAAAAATTCGTATATAATTTATGATTTCTTGAGGCGTTTATCAATGATAACGAAATTACCACAATTATGAATGTGTCTCACATGTACTACACACACATACTGTGGCCGCATGTGCGTGAAGAGATTCATTATTCATCGAATCATGTGAATCAATTGGGAACATACTGTTGTTTTTTCATCATCTGTTTTGCGTTCATGTTCTTGCCAAATAAACTAGGCTAGAGGCTGCTGCTATGTGAGTCAAGTTACTCCATTTGGGCAAACACGAGTTTGCCAACTCCAAAATCGAGATTAGTCAAATAGAAACAACAAAACCAAACCGAACCGTATACTTAACAACGGTATTAATTTACAAAACAGGCGTAAGGAGAAGAAACAAAGTGGAATGACATTTTCGGGAATGGGTGTTTTAACTCATTTGATGACGTATGTACAACGACGTGGTCATATTGAAATATGCTAAAAACTCCTCCGAAATAAATGACAAATCAATAATTTAAACGGACGAAAAAAAATGTTGATTGAAAATCAATAAATCACATCCACGTCGGCTGCTCTTATTGAAAGTCGATTGAGAATTGAAATTGTGCCGAGAGATGCTGCTGTTAAAAGCAGATGATAGGAGGGAAGAGAGCAAAAGAGAGCGCGCGAAAAAAAACCAACAATCGATAGCATGCACTATACAAGCTGTTACGTCGACAGTAAAATGTGTGATTTGATTCCGAATAGAATGTTTTGTTGTTGCATTTGTTACATTCGAACCGATCGATTTTCATGTAATTCTATATGTGTACACACATTGAGTGCACTGCACATACAGGGGCTCCAAAGAATATGTGATTCATGCCTTTGTGTCGTGTACACACTCTCTTTGTACAGACACAAAGCTCAGCAATAGACATCGAGAGAGATGGAGACAGAACAGGAGAGAGATAACACATGAATGATAAAAAAAAAATTCACCCAATATTTATTCGGAAACAATTGCAATTTAATTGAACCCTTGCTGTTGTTATCAATCACAATTATTGATGGCATTGCGCGAGCCTCGCAACTCAATTAAAATAGTCCAAGTATTTGGTTGAATATATGAATTACTTAAAATGCACTTTTATTACCATTTCAAATAACTAGCCGTGAATCCTGTGAGTATATGCTCTCTTTATGGGAAAAATTGCGCGTATGTTTTTCTTTAGTATCTGTTTTCTTTGGTCGCACGAAAGAGAAAAGAAAAACCTCTTTTCCGAGTTGTTTATTCCGTTTGTTACGTTGCGAATTCGTTGTGTATTTTATTCGATTGCACCGAGCACACAATATATGTGTATATCACTTTTCTCACCAACCGCACAAATAATATTAAAAATTACAACTGAGAGACGGGGCCACAAAACAATTTATCTTTTTATGCAAACATACAAAAGGCAGGATTCAAATAAATGACAGCAAAATGCATGCTATTTCTCCGAGAGTTTTGACACCGATGTTTTACCTAATTTTTTTTTTGTATTATTTTGTTGCCCGAATATTGTCGATGCACACAATATATTCTCGAATTACTTTCTTTCTTTCTCTTTTCTACATTTGACAAGTGAGACGTTGTATTTCTTTGCCTTTTTTTCTTTAATTTGCACTCACACACACCGAACAGAGATGGATTTTTTCGGATTCTGATTACACGGCTAATGGAATACAGGCGCAACGAAACACACAGAAAAAATCAATTCGTTGTGTCGTTTCTACGTAAGAAAGATTATTGGTTTTTTTAGACGTTTAAAGCGATCTCTCGAAGTCGCCTCATTCACACACTCAGTGTGAACTGCGCGCTACGTAGATGTATGGGTTTATACAGTTTAACAGTTAAGGGTAAGTTCATCTTATCGACTAGACACCGATTGCGCGATACTCTCTCCCATACACGTATAAACTGACTCGCATTCACACACACACTTGCACGCCCATCCGACAATTTCAATCGATAAAATTGGTACGCACATCATAAACGTTGAACATTTACGAATGGTTCACATTATCGATGATGAACATATGTTGTCCATTCCCATCGGTAATTGTCGATGTTGCGACTATACGTGTTCTGCTGGCTGCCGGTAAAGCGACCAAACTCATTTCATTACGCATTTTCAACGCAATTGGGAATGAAAGAAAAACGATCTCGATTTCGAGTCGATGTAAATTTCTCCAGTTCCTTTCCACTTTAACATTTTTGTCATTCGAATTTCCGGGGAAATTTTTCACATTTATATTCTTCGTTCGTCAAGCTGTCAATGTAAACGCAACCTAACTGTCAATGGAATTGTTTGTGCCACTGCTTCCAATTAGACGTATGACTATGACTATGTAAATTAAACTGGTTAACATTGTATTGAGGCGCGTATACGATTGTTGTTTATTCATTTCGTTAGGTGTACCCGCATCGTTGTGTGTACACAGAGCCAAACGAGAGAGATACGTGCATTCTGAAGTGACCGTGTCTCATTGTTTGGAATGACGTTGTGTGCTCGCAATTCACCACACATATTTACCGATGATTTTTGTTTTGAATAGAAAAACGTGAAAAAACAAAAAAACATTTATACATTGGGATCGGTGAATGCACATCGCGCGACTGTTCCAAGTTAAATCACAACATATACACAATAAAAGTACACAAAGACATATCAGTGTATTGTTATTTCACTGTGTTTTTCTTCTTTTTTCACATTCTGAGTACATTGAATGATGTGTTACTTGTGACAGTACTAACTTTATTACATTTCATTTTTATTATTATCGTTTAAACTTTTTTCGTGTGTTGCTTTAAAGCTGCAAACAAAACTTGAATTGAAGTGTAGTTAATCAAATTGCCCGGGTCCTATGACGATTACATTCAATTTTTTTGACAGCAATTCGTGATCGTTGTGGTTGAAATTTCACTTACCCATTTTCATTTTGGTGCATTCACATTGCATCAGCCAATTGGTGTAAACAAGTCAATTTCCGTTTAGCAAACACGAGAAGAAAGGTGAAGAAACACAGGTGACAAGAGTTAACAAAAAACTAGACATTTTTTTTTTCATACAAAACAAACAACAATTATGGAAGCTGTACCTAAAGTGCCAATGCTTCACTTTACGCTGAAGCAAACATTACAGAAATCATCATTTTCCCGATTGAAACAGGTAACTAATTGTGTCATTGTCACGAGAATAAGGAGAAGAAAAAAAGTGTTCAAAGTACTGGAAGTTTCCAATTTTCACAATTCGTTGCCAAAATCTAATTAACGCGTAGTTGTGTATGTCTCCATGAATATATGGTCAAGTGACGTCAAATTGCACTATGATTCATATTCATTTCATACAAGTCGTACAGATATTGTTTTCGTTTTTTTCTTTTTCTCTATTTTCGGTTAGAGCAGGGAAATCGCACGAATAAGTGATGAGTGAAGTGAACTTCCAGTCACATAGTTGTGTCTATTTTTATCACTTATTTAAATATTGAACAAATCCCAATTACGTTCGAGTGTTCAGTGAATAATCAGTGTAGGTTTATTGATTGAAATTCTTTTTCTCTTTGCAAATTAGTATATTGCCGAGTGTTATCAAGAGGATCCGGAAACATTTTCAAAGGAAATTTATGAGTTGGAAACACTACGAGCGGCTGCATACAATCCATCGATCGACGATACCGGTTACAATGTGATCAAACGATACTATTGTCAGTTGCATTCGTTGCAAAATCGCTTTCCAATTGAAAACGATCGCAGTTTGGTGAATTTCGTTTGGCGTGACATTTATTCAAGCAACACAACACAATCGTCCGATATACGCCATGATATGGCCGTCGTACTGTACAATTATGGTGCAATTCATACGCAAGTGGGCGCGGCGGCGAATCGATCATCGGAAGAGGAAATGAAATTGGTGTGCACACTGTTTCAACGGGCTGCATGGGCATTTGAAACGATTCGCGAAAAATATCAAATGGCTACGACCGGCGATATGTATCCGGAAATTTTGATATTTATGCAAAATATTTGCTTTGCTCAGGCGCAGGAGTGCATTTTGGAAAAGAGTTTGATCGACAATCGCAAATCGATTATCGTGGCAAAAGTGGCATCACAAATTATTGAATATTATAATTCGGCGTTTGCAGCGTTGTTGTCGGGCGGCGAAGAGGGGATGATTGCCGAAATTGTCGGCTCGAGACAATTCAAAGAGTGGCGACAGTACATTCAATTCAAGGTACAATACACGGCCTGCATTTTACTTTTGTATCAAGGTCAAAATGCCGAAGAGCAACAGAAGATGGGCGAACGTGTAACACTATATCAAGCGTCATTCGATCGGCTGGAGGATGCACGAAAAGAGGCCAAACATCTGAACAATATGACACAGGTAACGGAAGCGTTGACCTTTGTTATGGACGTGGTCGAAGCAAAACGAAAAGCGGCCAAAAATGAAAATGAATTCATTTATCACGAAGAAGTGCCTGAGCTCAGCTCAATCGCAACGATTGCCGGTGCAAATTTGGTAAAGGGAATCCCGTTCAATGTGTCCGATGCGGCCAGTGAAGATATTTTCCATCGTTTGGTGCCGATCAAAACGCACGAACATAGTTCGTTGTACAGTGAAGAGAAGACGAATTTATTGCGAAAAATCACGCAAAAAATCGAAGCAAAAGATAATGAGCTCAATCAATTTATGGAATCGCTCAATATTGATTCGTTGAGTTTTAATCCGAAAGAAGTGAAATTACCACAATCGATTATTGATCGATGTGCCGCTATGAATGCCCGTCCAACGGTTATCGATGATTTGATACAAAATATGTCGTCGTTGGCCGAGATTTGTGTGGATGTGGAAAATATGCTGCAAACGATACAGGAACTCTTGAGCAAAGAGGAATTCTATGAAAAAGATTTTCAACAAACGATGGGCCAATATCGCCCTAGCGGCCATTTCGTCGAATTGAGCCGTGAGTTTATGAAATATCAAGAGGCACACAATAAAGCTGGCGATAGCAATGATACATTGCGAAAGGCAATGGAAATGCATGTGAACAATTTACGCATTTTATCAAAACCATTGAGTGATGTGCAAGCGGCCATTCCCACCTGTTCGATTGAATGCGATCCCAAATTACTGAGCGAAACACAAATGCTGTTGAACAAAGTGAACGAGATGCGAGTGCAACGGGCACAATTGTATGCTCAGCTCAGTGAAAACATTCAAAATGATGATATAACCGCACAGTTGGTGGCATGGGGTGATGAAGATGTGGAAAAATTGTTCAAATCAGAGCTGGGCAAACATGAGCAATTGATTAATATCATCGAACAGAATCTCGTGGCTCAAGAAAATATCTTGAAAACATTCACCGATGCCTACGCAAAATGTGCACATTTCATCAAAACCGTATCGGATACGAAACATAAACGCGATATATTCTTTTCATCGTTGATCGCCTCCTACGATGTGTACGATGATCTGTTGGGCAAAAGTCTAAAGGGATTGGAATTTTATAAGAAATTGCAGAGCAACATTCAACGCTTGTGTGCTCGAGTTCGCAGCGCACGTGATGTTCATGATGAGGAACGGCAACAACGCATCGATTCAATGAATAAAAAGGCACTGTCATCGATGCAACCACCATCATCGATGCCGGTTTCAACAGCGCTCGCACCCAATGCTGACTATCCGAAATTGACAAAACCCACTGAACACGATGTAATGGAGAGTTATCGCAGTACAGCCATCCGTCCAACACCAATCGGTCAAGAGAATTGCCTTACATCGATGCAGCATGATGTCAGTCATTCGAATTCAGTATCGACAACTGTTCCGTTTAATTACAACTATCAAACGTCTGTTGCCGCATCGATGCCATCAAGTTATACACCGCCAGCGGCTCAAACGACAATATCAACACCAAGCTCAGCTCCGTCATCATACTCGAATCAATCGAATACGTATTCCAGTCAACAGAGCGCATATTCAAGCCAGCCAAACTCGTACTCAAGTCAACAGAATGCTTACTACGCCACACAGTTTTCACAAGCGAATGCAGCATACGCGCCCAACTCTGCTGGTGGCTTCGTGAATCCGATCTATAGCAATTTGCCGACATCTAACGCGGCCCAACAACCAAAACAAAGCTATGAAAATGTACCGACCACAGTGACCTACACCACCAGTGGCAGTACATCCGTGAGTTCATATGGAAATGTTGGAACGTATTCCTATGCAACAACATCTCCAACATCCACGCAACAGTACAACTACAATAGCATGATGACCAGTGTACAAAACCCAGTGCAAAATTTACCCGTTTCATCACAGTCTCAATCGTATTTGAATTACTCGCAAAGCGATACGCGTCAAGCAAATTCTTACATGAATCCCAGCTACGCAACGGCTCAAACACCAACAACAGCCACTTATTATTCACAGACACCACAAACGAGTGTCTATCAATCGGCAAATGCTAGCTCAATTACAAATCCAACATTGCAATCGTATGCTGGCGTTTCTTATGCGGATTACACAAGCCAAGTGAATGCATATGAAATGCCATCGAATAGTCAGTATTCACAGCAAAGCCAGCAAGTGCCACAAGCTTACTCTCATTCCAACTCAACTGCAAGTTATATGCAAACAACAGCGCACCCACAACCACAGCAACAGTCGCATGTGCCACAAGTATCATCTTCGACGGCATTTACTAACTACACGCCCGGCTACTCGACACAATCGTTGCCACAAGCTTCAGGTGCATCAACTACAGGACAACTGTCTCAAATCGGAGTGACAGCCGGATTGCCTCAGATTGGAGCGACCACTGGGCAACTGCCTCAAACTGGAGTTTCTTCGGGGCAATTTCCACAAACTTTGCCACCGACAACGGCGACAATAACGAACAATCCACAGTCAACATACCCTACCAGTGACGCATATAACTATTATAATACCCAGTATCCAGTACACAACACTCCAACATCGAATAAATACTACGGCAACGAGACGAACATTCAAAGCAATCCGTATTCGATGCCGATGAGTTCCAGCTACTTACCACCTGGCTATGGCGTTCCAGCGAACTACAGTGCACCGAATCAGACAAACGTCTATAATTATGGAACGATTGATCCAGCTGCAAGCGGTTCACTCGCATCAGCTGGTAGCAACTATACAACGATTTCACAGCATGCTCCGAATATAGCACCAGCTTCGGCTAATGCTATGACGCCAGCTACAAATCCGGTGGTGCAATCGTCAATTTCGGCTCAGGTTTCATATCCGCCGCATGCTTCAATTCCGGCTTCATCGATCCCAGCTTCCGTGGCTCCCTATCAAAATGTTGCCCCAAGCTCAAGTGTCACAACGATTCCGGCAAATTCGCCTCAAGTGAAACCTGAACCGGCTAAGCCGAAATCAAATAAATTCGATTTGCTCAGCGATTTGGACAATATCTCCATTGCGGCACCTACATTGCAACCGATGAAATCAACTGACAAGCTACTGCAACCAGAACCAAAACCAGAAATAGTAACACCGAACAAACCAGATGAGAGGTAATTGGATCGCATTTTGATTTAGAGATATTCATAAGTTTTTAATTTCATTAAAGAGTACTTTATTTAATTCCGGCTTTAATTTCAGTCAAACAAAAAAAGAAGAAATGATTCCCGAATTGCCGCGGCCAACGAGTGATGAGAGGCCACCGGTTCATAAGAATGATTCGATTGAAAAAGCCTTAACTGAGCTATCTCTGGCCGAAGAGGAATTGACCATTAAGGCAAAAGTTGAAACAGAAACAAAGCCGGCAATTAGCTCACATTTGGCCGAATTGATTGCATCAAGCACCGTTGTTAGTACGGCATCAGTTCCGCCAAGTTCTGCGAATATTGAGAATTTCTACAAAGAAGTTCAACGATACGAAAAAATTGTGAATGGCTTAACAACCAAAACTTTAAATGGCACCACACCGCTTGAGATTAAATGGAAGGAATTGCATGATTTGCTGGACAAAGACGCTGCCAAGCGATCAGTTAGCGTGTCGAAGTTATTCCCGGAGAAAAATCGTAATATGCTTTCCGTCCCATACGATCATTCACGTGTTCTTCTACCAACGGAAACTGACAACTACATCAATGCCGCTCATATTCGGGTAAGTGCTGTGACGTTGATAGTTCCCCAAAATTTGTGGGTTCTGTGTTCTTGTCTTTCTTTTCTGTTCACTTTTGTTCATTTTCTTTGTTTGTTTTGTTTTTGTGATGCTAAATTTTAAGAAGGATATCAAGTTGGTGAGTTCCAAAGATCGAAAGAGAAATAAGAGAAAAATCTTCAGATTTTGAAAAAAAAGTACTTCCCCTCTTTCAGTTTATTTCATACAAGTTTGAATATTCCTTTTATTTCAAGTCACGTGTAATTTGTTATGTTTCATTCCCTTTCCGTTCTCGAAATTAGAAAAGCATTTTTTTTCTAAATTTCCCAATTTTTTTAAATCATTTATAAAAATTTCGTACATTTCATTGTAGAATTATGTTGCAAAATCATCCTTGTTAAAAAATCGAATTTCTTACAAAAATATTTCTCATTAATTCAAATATTTTCTTCAGGATTTAGGATCGCATTGTAACCATTTCATATTAGCCGATGCGCCGACATACAATACGGTCAAGGATTTCTGGTGTATGATCTGGTCGCAGAATGCATCGTACGTGGTTTGCCTTATCATTCCAGATGAAGGGCCAATTCTACTGTTTCCAAAGCAATTGAATACGCCGCATAACTTTGGCGATTACACGGTGACCATTTTAAGTGAACATAATCGATTGCATATCATCGAACGAAGCATTCGTGTGACTTCATCCGAATCCAATTCGACCAGAATCATTACGATTTTACAGCCGAAACAATGGCCAACGAAAAAGTAAGTTTTTTTTTCAAGTAAAAATTAGAAATTTCATTTTCAGAACGAAAATGGAAAAAAAGAAGAATTTTATACAGAAAAAACATTTTTCAAAATATAGAAAAAAAAAAAATAAAACAATTTCTGTTTCAGTTCCATCACCAACATAATTGGAGTATCTCAAAATATAATTGATACGGCAACAGCGGCCAAACTGCATAATATCCCAGTCATTTTGAATTGTCCGACGAATTTGGAGCGATCAAGTTTGGTGGCGTTGACGATAACATGCATTTTAGCACTTGAATGCGAAATGCCAATTATAATCAGTGAGTAGAGCAACTTTACGCACTTGATGCATAGCAATGACGTGTTCGATAAGTTTAGATTGATTTAATCGACCTTTGATTTTCCTCCAGATGTAACCGACGTATGGTATCGAATTTGCTCACAACGCAAAAATATCCTAAATGACACGAGTATTTTTCAACAATCGATGCAAATTGTACTTCAATGTTGTCGAGAGTTTATCAAGAAACGTGAGCTTGACTTTTTTCCTTCAAATATCTTGACACAAGTCATACATTCCGTCGATTTGATTCTTACTTCCAACATTTTTTTATTTCAACAGGATCGCCCAAGACACTATCGAACAACACTCAGACCAATTACTATTTCATCGAAGAAGAAGAGCCGACCGTCAAGGATCCATTCAAAGACCTCGATCCATTGTGGAAATTGAAATGAAAAAAAACAGACCGTTGATGAAAAAAATTGGCGACTCTTTTGAATTTACGACGATGATCAAGGATGAGGTTTCTGCCACTTTATACATCATTTCAAAGGAAGGCCACAAATGTCAACAAAATTCATTGTGAACAAACAAAAATATTTTTATTTCAGTTTTTTTTGGAAAAGACAGGTGTTGAATCTATTTCTATCTATCAAATTTATTACATTTACGGCTTATTTGATCTATAAAATTATTATTATTGTAATCTATTATTCATTTGTGTTATCAGATCTATATAAAAAAAAATAAAGAGAAAAGAAAATATTTGTTACGCTTTTATCCGAGGGTTTTTCTTCGTTTTAAGTTTGGTTGGTTTTGATTTTTTCATTTTTTTTTTCATTCATGAAAATGTTCGAAGATTTTTTTCATAATTAAACAAAGCGGGAAGACTGCATAATAAAAAGGTAAAATATTTAAAGTTGAAAAAAAAAGAATAAAATCGAAAAAGAGCATTTTCTATGCCTATTTTAAGGCAAACCATCGTTTGTTGCCATCCAATGGAGGAAAGACTTTAGAATTGAAGAAAAGATGGCGCTAAAAGCGTATATACACAAACGAATGACATTTCTTACCTGTAACCACATGCTTTTGAAACAAATATACCAAGTTCATAGATAGATCCTATGACAATGTTTATGATGTATTCGAATATATCCGAATAGTGCTGAACTAAACTTTTTGAAATTCTGCTAAAAGTTGAAATGAAGGAAAAAATGCATCAAATCCTGGACTTGATGACAATGTCGATAGAAAAATATACCAACCCATGAATATTTCTTACTGTACTTGACATTATGCTCCACAGTTGTCCGTTTAAGCATATCATTGAAATACAATCACAAACTCTGTTTCGATGGATATTGCGAGGTCCATAAGCTATACTTACCAAAACTTGCAAATAATATGAGCAAAGAAATCAATCAACCATTTCCAATGTAAACAATTCAAACAACAATTATTTGTCACCAATTTCAACTCTCTGTCTCTCCCTTTCTCATTGCCTCTTGTTGACAATGAATGACATGATCGCACAAACTAAGACGTGGTTTTACTAGAAAGATTTATTGAAAAAATGTTCCATCGCTTGCAAATAATCTGTAATCATTTCGTCGCTACAATTGTTTCAACTCGCAAGTCAAAGAAGAAAAAAAGTAAAGATGTTGTTTTCGTTACCCAGACTATTTGTAAAAAACTACAAAGTCTATTCACAGAAATTGGAATCGAATGCGTTGGATTTTTTTTTTGTTTTTTTTTACGGTTTATCGTTTATTGTGTTGTTGTTGTGGGTTTTATTGGTTTTAATTTTTTTACACTAGTAAAAATGTATTCCAATCAGGCCGATTAGAACCGCAACTTGGTGAAGAACCATTTGTTTTTGCCAGCCTTGTATTTTTCCTCAAATTTGACACGTGTTTGGAAGCGGTGTGTCTTACGCTTAACTGGATCTTTAAGATCCTTCACGCTCACTTTTTCGAAAGCAATGTCCGATACACTGTATCTGGTTGGCATGACGTGGTTGTAGTTCAACAACTGAAAATGAAACAAGTAAAAATCACAATATTACTATTAGTAATTGGTGGCGTTAAGTGTGATGAAAACGGTGTTCTTCATAGGAATTTCATGGTCAAGTCTATTTGTAAACAATTTATCTGACCATTCGAACACCAGACTAACATGAGGGCGATGAAAATGTAAATCACATGCTCGTTGGCACTTACCTTCAAGAATGGCTTTATCTTGGACTTCTTCTTCAGCTTAGCCTTGCCCATCTTCTTTGTCACTTTACGTGGGTACCGGTCGATACCAGCCACGAGAGCGTGTCCGAATTGTTTATCGGATGTTCCGTCATCGAAGGTTTTCACAACAACAGCCTTGCGGCCGGCGTAACGTCCACAAAGGACGATTACGACTTTACCAGATTTCATAATCTTACGCATCTTGCTACTGAAAAGACAAACAAAACAGAGAAAAAACAACGGATTAGATTGAATCACTTCAGACGGTGTAAGTGCAAATGTGTCAAACGAAAAGTATAGGTTATTCGTATGTGATGTAAATCTGGATTCATTCACAACAAATAAATGTGAAATTTCTTCGATTCATATGAAACAGAGTACTAGTAACTAAACAGAAGACTCTGTGTTATTCGCAATATGACGATTTTATCGCACAAAAATAATTTTGCATTGATTGTATGCTTCTCGTTGAGGTTATGTTATGCACTCTCGTATGGAGTGAAACATGATATGTGCTCGCGACTAGTGAACGTGTAACATCGATTGATTTTGAAAAATTAACACATTTTATTGGAAACTTTTCACAGCACTTGACCAAATTTTCCAAAATACACGCACTTTTACGACGAATTCAATTGGTTTCACATTAAATTAATCAATTTGGTTGAGTATCACAATGCGATCTTTCATTGACAGCTCTTTTTTTACTGAACATTCGTTCAATATCAAAAAACGATTTTTTATTTGCAATTATTTTCCGAAAATTTGCCGATGAATCGAAGAAATATTTATATTGTACGGTCGATGAATGAATCCAGAACCAATTTACATCCATTTTCAGTACTTTTCGATAGAATATTCTATTGATGATTTGAAATTTAAAAAAATTGAGCAAAAATTCACAACTTACTGGTCGTACTGTCTGACCGGAAAAGAGAGATACCACAAGCAACAATTCAGTTTGATGTTTCTACGCAGTAGTATGCGTGATGGATGTTTGGCGGCGCTGTTTGTTCTCGGTTTGTGTCAGTCACATAGCGAAATGTCTACGCATACATATACACGAGATGAGATGCACTCATTCCATTTGAATGGGCAAGCGGAATAATGAAACGTAATTTTTTTTATAAAATGAAGAGCCCCTGAAAATTTTTTGCAGTAAAAGTGCCCCACAAAAATATTGTCTGAATTGGTTTTCATGTATCACTTTTACTGATAAATTTTTTACGAGGCGATTCAAATTAAACCAAAAAATATTGTATGAAAGAGTGCCTCACGAAAAATATGCAATTTGAATCGCCTCGTAAATTTTTTTTCATTAAAAGTGGTAAATGAAAACAAATTCAGACAATTTTTTGTGGGGCACTTTTACTGAAATTTTTTTCAGGGGCTCTTCATTTTACAAAAAAATCACGTTTCATCATTCCGCTTGCCCATTCATTTAAATATTAAACATATTTAAATGGATATGTTCAACTCATGTGGGGGAGTATTTTTTTACATAAGTAAGCTTTTCAAATTAAGTTCAGAATGATATACAAACCGTTTGATTATGTAATAAATTTGATTTTATGGGGAAAATTTATGCAAATTTGGTTAAAATTGATAAAAAATGCCACTTTTCTAGTTATTTTTGATTTTATTCAGTATGTTTTGATGCCAATTGAAATTTAATTGAATGAAAAAAGAGAAAAAAAACCCAAAAAAGAAGAATGTTCTTTCCTTCCGTTTTGCAAAACACACTTTTGTTTGGGAAAATAACCTGAATGAATCATTAATTTGATGATGATTGTTTCTGCTTTCTATAATTTTTCTCATATGCGATCAAATGTACCGTGAGCCAAGCTTCTTGTTCAATTGAACCATCTTTTTTTTTTAAACTAACGGTCAATTTATGTTGTGGGGGTTAAATGGTCAATTTATGTTCTACTTTTCCATTAAAAAAATTTAACCCCCGGGGGTTAACTTTAACTTTTAACAAATATTTAACCCTCGGGGCTTAAAATTGCGAGTTAAGGAACATGAATTGACCGTTAACCCGAGGGTTAGCATTTTAAACCGAGGGTTAAATTGGATTTAACCCTCGGATTTTAACCCGAGCTCTGACCATGGGTTAAGTCCGAGGGTTAACTTGGGTGAGGTATTTATATCGACATATCATGTATGTAGAACATAATTTAGCAATGAATAATGACGAATGGAATTGAAAAACTGACCAAAATGGGATGAATTTTGGGGAAAAAGTTTTTAATTCTCAACGGGTATTTTTAAGCTTCTTTGATGATTTAAAAGCAGAAAATAACTGAAATAAAAAGAACACGCAACAAAATTGAGAAATATGCAGCAGACAATTAAAATCAAATTGAATTGGGCATTTTAATATTGTAAAATAAGCCGAATTCATACCCCGAATATGTTGCGCGACATCAACCGGTTATGAGGTACGTTACGCTGCCCCCCCCCCAAATTTAATGCTGGGATGTGACCGGTACCATTATTTAGTGCTCAATTAGTGCTGGCGAATGGTACCATCGGTTAATTTTATGCTGCGATAGGGAGCTAGCACTAATTGAAAAATGTGTAAAAACTCGATTTTTGGCCCTTTTACAGGGCTATTGACTAGATCGAGAGGAGAGTAAGTTCATCTGACTTTGTTATGGAAGAGAAGAGTAAGTTTCTTTCGACTAAAAAATGGTTAAAGGCGAGTATGTTCATTTTTGGCGGGTCCTCGCGGTTTTCCATGGTTTCCGCGGAACTGAGAAGAGATAACAACTTGGCAAAGTTGTAGCACTCGAGGTTTTCTATAACATTGCTGAAGTCAATTATATCTTATCTCTTATCAGTTCCGCGAAAAGCGCGAAAAATGATAAGAAAAAAAAAAGTTCTATATAAAATTTGCTTTTTTATGTGCGCGATTTGCGCGCAACTGATAAAAGATAAGAGATAGATGTCTTCAGCAATGTTATAGAAGACCTCGAGTACTACAACTTTGCCGAAGACACCATGTTGTTATCTCCTATCAGTTGCGCGAAAACCGTGAAAACCGCAGAGGCTAGATGGTACTACAACATACTCTACTTTAACGCCAACAGAATCATCAGAAAAGATACTCTCCTCTTTCAAAATATATTAGAATTTTTTCACATACTCTCCTCTCGATCTAGTCAATAGAGGGGAGCTACCCGAAAATGAAACTTTTTTGTATCGTGACTGGGCTATAAAATTAGTGCTGAATTAGTGTTGGCAAACGCACTTTTCAGATCTAAAAAATGTTCACTGGGGACCGAGCACTAATGGTCGACATTTTTGGAAAATTCGATTCTCCCTACATTTCCTTCGCAAGTACCTGAAATCGATTTTTTTGTATGAATGGCTAGCTCTCGCAATAGGATGCAGCAGAAGAGATAGGATGCAACAGAAGAGATAGGATACGCATTGTATTTAAATGATGGCAATGCTATCCTATGTTAAGGCGTTGCGCTGTACAATTCTGGAAAAGTTTGTTTATAAAAAATTTTTCTTGTAAACAAACCGTCCTATACTACTACGTTCAGTGTGCTGATACACGATGAAGCTGGGTGCCGTTATATACTGAGAGTGCACAAAGCAAAAATTATCCGCATATTTTTTCTATGCCAATGCATATATCCGGCGCCTGAGTCAAACTCTGTTGCGCACTGTATGTAGCTTTCTGATGATTTCCTTCGAATTTCTGCCCATCACTGCTCGTCGATGGATCTCTTCTGCTGCATCCTAAGGAAATCGATTTTTTAAGTATTTGAACCAGTGAAAATGTGCGAAGCAGACGGGCGAGATGCCATTGGATGTGCGGTTTGTGGAATGAAATTTGGTCAGAAGTCTCATATGAATTAACTGTACACACAGGGAAAAAAGGTTCAGATATTCACTACGCCCAATTTTTTTTCCTGAAAAAAAAACCAAAATTCAGATTTCTCAGACAAAATGTTTTTTTGAACCTCCATAATATAGGTAAAATGGACGCGCCAAAAAAAAATTTGTCTGAGAAATCTGAATTTTGGTTTTTTTCAGGAAAAAAAATTGGGCGTAGCGAATATCTGAACCTTTCTTCCCTCTGTATATTGGTGCGCAAAACAGAAAGTCATGACACACTTACTCGATCAATGAGTCATATCGATTCTGACTCCTTGACTCCACAGACTCATTGCCTATAAAATGGAGTCAGAATCTAGCTCGTTTCTTATGACTCATGAAGAGCGAGTCACATCAAGTTAGTCTCACTTTGGATAAATGGATGACTCCGATTATGACTCATATTGTGACTCACTTTATGACTCAATTATAATGTAGTGATTCACTTTTCCGAACAGGAGTCATAGAGCCAGCATTCATACAAAAAAATCTATTTCAGGTACTTGCGAAGGAAATGTACGGAGAATCGAATTTTCCAAAAATGTCGACCATTAGTTCTCGGTCCCCAGTGATTATTTTTTAGATCTGAAAAGTGCGTTTGCCAGCACTAATCCAGCACTAATTTTATAGCCCCGTCACAGTACAAAAAAGTCTCATTTTTGATAACTTCCTCTGTAAAAGTGCCAAAATCGACTTTTCAAACACTTCTACAATTAGTGCCCGGTCCCCAGTAAAGTTTTTTTGAATCTGAGAATGACATTTGCCAGCACTAATCTAGCACTAATTTTATAGCCCGGTCACGATACAAAAAAGTTTCATTTTCGGGTAGCTCCCCTGTAAAAGGGCCAAAAATCGAGTTTTTACACATTTTTCAATTAGTGCTAGCTCCCTATCGCAGCATAAAATTAACCGATGGTACCATTCGCCAGCACTAATTGAGCACTAAATAATGGTACCGATCCCATCCCAGCATTAAATTTGGGGGGGGGGGGGCAGCGTAACGTACCTCCGGTTATGACATACAAAAAATGATGAAACAATTGTGTTTGAATGCAAAATGAAAGGATTTATTGCTTTCAGTGGTCGAATCATAACGGCTACTAGAATTTTAAAGTAAATTGAATCGATGCTAATTCTAGAACTGAACAACGCGCAATGTATGACATTTGCAGAGATGACTGAAGCGCACCGAGTGACTGAGCAGCGGCCGCACCACAACTGAATTTGCGTAACCTGCTCAGTGCAATGCTGTATTTGGCACCTAAATCGTTCGGAACATTCACATGAGCGTCGCTCCATTTTAACCTCGTCTACAGGTTTTTTACCTGCGATCACTATTTTTGTAAGACTTTTTGGAAAAAATAAAATTATTGATACATTTGTATCAGTGATGCCGTACCACAAACAATGAAAAAGCACATTTTCACTACCATAAAAAAGTTACATTTTCTCCGGCAAAATACCGATTACATTTCAAAATAGCCATGAAAAACTGTTAAAACAATTGTGTAGACTCATTATTTCTTTCGAAAATATTAGTTTCCACCAATCAAAGCTAAAGGAAATGCACTTTTTATATATCTTCCGAGCAAAAGTTTGAATTAATACATACAAATGTAAAAATACCGATTTACCACAAACCCAAATGAATTGACTGCTTAGGTATTGGTGGACTTCCAACATTTTTACGAACAAAATATAGTGTTCTAACATAAAAACATCGTCAGAAGCTTATTTTTTATGTTTCTTGAAGAAAAATATCATTTTCCGGTCAAAAAGAGCAAGTTGAAAAATTCACTTCAATTCAACCTATTTTGGGACTATGCAATGGCTTCAGATCGCATTTTTACCACTTTTAATTGTTTTCTCGTTAAAAATTGAGTGGACTATGGACATAGACTTTTCCCAAGCATTTTAGACCCGCCATAACATAGTTGTGAATAAATTTTCCAAAAAAATTCACTTTTTTCTTTCAAATCACATAAATATTTCCACGTGTGTATGAAACTTTCTGAAGGTCTTGTAAAATGACAATGATCCGCTGTTAACAGATGGATGTATGATTAGAGGTGTCAACGGACAAAATTTTGTCCGTCCGTCCGTCCGAATTTTTTTTTTTAAAAGTTCGGACGTCCGGTCCGAATGTCCGAAAACCAAAATTTTTTTCGGACCG